CACTGTACTATTATCTTTAATTATGATTATTGTTTCGTTTAGTAGTTACGAAAAAAAACAAATAATTAACGAACTATTTGTTTTTTTTTTTTGTACGAACGATTTGATTATTAATTATAAGCACAGTGTTATTTGTCTCGTAATTTGTTTATATTTAAATTTTTGTATCATTAATAATAAAAAAAATTATAAATACTTTTGAAATAATAATAATAGTAATGAAAAGATTAATTTGATTAATAAGGTGATTAGTTTGATTAATGAGGTGATTAGATTAGATTAGATTGAGAGATTTAACACTTAAGAGTCTTTAATCCATCCTATAATTAGGCCACAACAAAAGAGGTTAGCTATCCATCTAATCTAAATACCCTTTGCACATGGTGTGTCAATAAGTGATGTCAAACACAAAACAAAAATTAGTCCCCATCTAACTAAAATATCATCATCTTTTTCTATTTTCTAAAGTTATAATATAAATAACAACAGCGTAAGGTTCGGAAAGTGTTATATCGAACCCAAACCCGATACATATCTATAAAAAATAAATTCGAAAAATATTTTATCGAACCCAAATCCAGTACATATTTATAAAAAATGAATTCGAAAAAGATTTTATCGAACCTAAACCTAATACATAGTTATGAAAAATAGGTTTGGAAAGGGTTTTGTCGAACCCAAACCCGATACGTATTTATGAAAAACGAGTTCGAAAATGATCTTATCGAACTCAAATTCGACACATATTTATGAAAAATGAATTTAAATATGTTCTAAACTCATAGTAAATGCGAGTATTGTTAGTATTTATTGAATTATATTGGTTAATATAAATGTAATATATAAAAAAAAAACTAAAAATATTGATTATATTTATTAATACAAACACATATAAATATATTCATACTTAAAATGTGTACTTATTCTTAAAAATCAAATACGAATCCACCATAATTTACATAAATAAATTATATTAGACCGAGATTGAGAGAATCTACTTAAACGAGTTCGGGATCAAAATATTATTTTCATCATATTTATTTATTAAAAAATAAATAAAAATTATTTTTAAATAAATTATAAAAAATAAATAAATTTCCAATCTTTTAATTTTTTAGATTAATAAAGATAATCATGGAAGAGTAAAGGGTGTAAGTGCATTGTAGTGAATATTTGGTTTGAAAGATATGCATATAAATATATACATATATATATGTATATATATATATATATATATATATATATAGTTTGGCAAAGTGTTATTTACTTTAGATAGGCACCTACAAAAGGTTTTGTGGGAATAATTAAATTTAATATTTGCTTTTACTTTAATTAATTAAAACTTGATCCATTATTACTTGCACTTTGGCCTAGCTAACATTCTAACCTACTAGTTAATTAAAGGCAAGCTTTTTACATATTGTATATATTATCTATGTCGTATAGCTAGTCATCAATGTATATAAACATATCCAAGTATGGTATGAATTAAAAAAAAAAGACATATATATATATGTGTGTGTAAATATGAATATATAGGCATTTGTAATATCTCACAATAAATTTTATTTTAAAATTAAATAATAAAACTTAACCAACAAGCTTTTTATCTCCTCTCTCCAATTGAGAAGGTAAGACATACACTCTTCTCAAAAGGGACCTTAATACAATGAATCGGGTGCACATTGAATTATTATAATATACATATAATACATATATATATATATATATGGGTGTAAACATTTGGTCCCCATGTCAATTCCCATGCATGCACCCATCAAATCTCTAATGCGTAATTTTTTTAGAAGGTGACAAACAGGCTGCAAATATAATTTGCTATGTGGGAATTACTACAATTTTATATACAATAATACAACAAATTTAGATTTAACAAATTATAAATAAATCAAAATTCCCATCTCTCTCTCTCTCTCTATATATATATATATATATGACAAATAAATTGTTTTGAGAATAGTATATCTAATTTGAATTATATGGTTTTCTTGTCACCCATCATTCTTGTTGTAATTCACATCTATAATTATTTAATTAAAATTAATTAGTTGAGGTAATTTAGTATTACATTTTTGTTATAGAAAATATAATTTTTATATGTTCCTCTTATCTTGGAAATTACTAACCTAAATGGTAATATTATATATACAATTTAATGCAACATATATACATATTTAAGTAAAAAAAATATATATATGTATGTATTTCATTAATTCCCCATTATCAATTAGGAGAAGAAACATTATCACATGGGATTTAAAGGTAGGTAAGTAATGTGTCACCTTCCGATAATCTTGATTAAGGAAAATTTTATCCTATAGTTGTTTCTCTAAGTTTTGCATTGCTTAAGCTAATATGAATCCATCCAACTATATATATATATATATGCTATCATATGTAATAATATAACTCACATATACATATATATATATATATATATTAGTGGGTCTCTACTTTTTTTTTTTTTTAATACTAATTATTGATAATACTAACTTTTTTTTAAGAATATTAATAATAAATATATAGTTATAAATTATTGTAGGTAATATGTTTGGGTTTAATAGACATGGGATGGCCCCCTCCATGTGGGCTTAGAGTACTTTAGGTGACTCAATGCAATTTTAATTTTATGTCGTTTTATTTGCTTTTGGAATTTTGTTGCATTCACATGGTGCATCCCATTTATCAAAAGCTTTGAAAAGCTACAAGATTAAAAGATTGATAGAGAGAGATGATTGCTTACATGGCAAATTATACTCTACCTTATATATATATATATATATATATATATATATACACATATATATAAAAATATAATATTTATCTCCAACATTTTAATTTTATATTTTTATGATTAAAAAAATATTTATTTAAATTTATAATTAATTATTGCTATCTTAATTAATATAATTTAATTTTCGTACCACTATTAATATATCTATAAATTAAGTTATCCGTCTTAATGAATTAAATAGTTTAAAATAATTACTGTCAGTATATAATACATTTTAAATAATAAATTTTATATTTTTAATTAAAAAAAAATTGTAGTATTTAAATAAAATATGAAGATATTAAATAGTACATTATTTGATTGTTGGTAATAATTAGATAGATATATATATATATATATATATATACACACGCATATGTTTATATGATTGCTTTGATATCTATGGTTTTGGAGTGTATATATATTTATATCATGGCATGTCACATGTGAGTAATTATTGTGACTTTTTCCTATACGTGATTTAGCATGTTTTAGGAAATTTGGATATAATTAATATTGTGTATGCGGAGCATTAAATTATTGACTATTTTATTTATTTGACCATTTAAGAATTAGAATGTAACAAAAGGAATGTTACAACATGTAACTAAATTTGAAAGTATTTTTATTAATTCTGTTATAAATAAAATAAATCACAACTAGATGTAAAATACTGATTTAAATTCGAAATATATTAACCGATTCAAATTAAAATCAATTGAAAATTAATTTTTGAAAAAAATATTTGATCGATGTAATTTCAGTTTAAATCGATTTAGATAAAAATTTATTTTTCAAATGTAAGATTTATATATATATTATTTTGATAATTTATTTTGTATAGTAATTAATAAATAACGATGTGATATTTTTGTAGTAATTAATAATTTAATAAAATACTACATCAACGCATATTGAATTAAAATGTTATTTGTAATGGGTAATTAATTATTTTAATATGATATAATTTTAATTTTAATATGATATGGTGGGTATTATCATGTGCATTATTGTTGCCGATGTTACACACACACACACACACACCCATATATATATATATGTATATCATAGATTAGAAATTAATGAGATCAACGGTTGATGATGATTGTCTTGGAAATTAATGTCATGTAATTTGATGTTTGATAATAAGTGCATGGTTTGCCTTTTTTATCTTTTCAATCATATATATATATATCTATTTTTTTTTTTAGTGTACGTGTATGTGTATGTGTATGTGTATGTATATGTGTATGTGTTTGATTAGCTCCTAACCCACTTTTGTTTAATCTTAAAATGTCAGCTGGCAATTTGGATATCTATCAAATCCAATGTGTATATATATATATATATATGTGTGTGTGTCGCACACCTCTGCATATGGTATTATTGTAATGAGAAAAAATTAATTAATTAATTTACATTTAGTTTCTTAATATTAATGGAATTAATAATTTTTTTTTTATAAATATTTTAATTTTGGGTTGAAATAAAAATTTAAATTGATGTACATTGATAGTGATGAAACGCAGGCACTCGTGTGGGTAAAATTGGGTGTCCGGCCGTGACAGCGAGCGTTTCTTCAGATGGATGACACGTGTCGCTTCCTCCCTACTCCTGCCCCTTAATTGAAGGGCACCCGAATTCAATTTGACCCGCACGCGAGAATACGAGAATCAAAACCCCAACTCTTCTGGTGATTAATTTTTGTTTTGTTTAATTAGTGATTAATCGGTGATTAATTAATCGATTTTGAAGTTAAAAATAGTAATTAATTAAGCAGCGGGAGGTAGTTGAATACTAATCACACAGCATAAGGAAAAGGGAGCATGTGCCCAAATTTGGTGGCCACATGACATGTGCCAGGCTTTATTTGGATAATCAGTTTGGGATATTCAATGACACATCTCCCGCTACCATTATTATCTTCTGCCTAAAATTCATGTCTTTTTTCGTAATTTTTTTTTAAAAAAATGGTAATTCATCCGCATAATATATAATTTTATTACGTTGTTAAATTGGTATTTTTAATTTAAAAATTAAGAAAAATGAAAATGAAAATGGAAATTCCAAATCACCCCAAGACAGGATATATATATATATATATATATATAAAAGGATGTGTGTATGTATGTGTGTGTGTATGTATGTGTGTATGTATGTATGGAGAGAGAAGGGTTAAATGGGAAAACCAGTACGGGGATTTATATTTCACAGGAGGTTTATGAGATAGGGGGGGAGATTAGGGTCTGAAATTAAAAATAATTTTAAGAAGAAAATTAAAAATGAGAAAAATAGAGAGCGATAAACCAAATGACACTTGGCAAATTAACCAAGCAGATTTTGTTATCAGCTTGGCGGCGTTGCCGAACTGGAGCCGGCGCCGGAACCGCTGCGGGAGAGAAGCTCGGCTAGAGCGCTCATGGCTCGAACCTGCATCTCCAGCGCGGCTATGTAATCGGTAGCTTCTTCTAGAATCACTGGTAGCGGTTGTTTACGGCAACCGGGAACCAACCGGCCAAGGACGCGCACTTTCCTCTGCACGGCCGGGACACCCTTCCCCTGCAACCTCAAAACACTAACTCTAGGCTTCTTCGACCGGCTACTCCCGGTGGCGGTCGCCGGCGTCCTCTGCCGCTTATGTTTCCGGAACTTGAGTTTGATACGATTGGTTAAAATGGCTCGGCTCCATCGTGTCCTCCCCCTGGCCGCCACAGCCAAGACTCTGTCCGCGGCTTCGCGCACTGCACGGCCCCGGCGCGGAACCGACGGCGGGGCGGGGGTCGGGGAGGGGGAGGAGGGGGTGGATTCGGGTGAGAGGCGGACCTGACCGAGAGCCTGAAGCAATTTCGAGGAATAGATTTGCTGTTGCCTCTCCGATTTCCATCTGGCGTGGCCTTGGCTCTGACTTTGCTGTTCTTTATTATGCTGAGGTTTCTTCTTCTTTTTCTTACGCACCCGATCGGAGTTCGCGGTGGTTACTACCTGATGATTCGAGATCAGAGATGCCATCGGTTGATGACGATGATTCTCCTGTCCGTACAATTCTGCCTCAACTGATCTTCCTTTTTTTTTTTTTTTTTCTTGTTGAAAGAATCAGAAGAAACAGTATCTGCCTCTCTGGTAACGAACAATAACAGAATCAGATTACCTTCTCTTTACCTGGTAGACAAACAAAAGATACAAATTCAGATTCATTCCTCGGAGATATAAAAGATTCAATCAAAATCCGATTGGAAAATTACAAAATCCGTAAATGGAACTTGAGAAATTGAAAGACGAAACTGGTCAATAAAAGAATTTAATAAGGAAAGAGAAGAAGACGATCAGTGTTACTTCCTACAACCTGTTAGAAGGGAGTTTACGTATCAACAGCAACGGATTTGATCGATCGACGGAAGAGGAAGAAGGAAGCAAGGACGGAGAAACGGAACGGAGTTGGTGAGGTGTCAGGCTGTGGGTGAAAGTGGAGAGAGAGAGAGAGAAAGGGTAGGGTGGGGGGGGAGGAATATAAAGCGAATGGAATGGGAAGAGAGCACGCGTCATTTATTTAGTTTTTTGCTTTACGGGTTTGGTTCCTCTTTTTTTTTTTTTTTTGTTGGTAACCATCCGGTTTGGGTTTAGGGATTTGGTAGTCGAGTGGTGGCTGATTTGATTGGACTTCCACATTAATTTCTGTATACAATTGACTTCATATTTAAGTTTATTTTAAATTTAAGTAAATATTTTAATTTAATTTCTTTATAAAAAAAATCAGCGTATAATTTCGGTGATTAATAATATTAATTTTTGTAATATCGATATAAATGTTATTTGTTCTTGATTAAGTTGGTAGAGAAATTTAAGCTCAGTATTAAATAAATTAATCTTTATGATCTGTACATATATATATATATATATAGATAAAAACTGATACTACTTATATCCCGTAATACCCACAATTACCAACATAATGATTTTGAAAAATAATTAATTTATTAATAATTATAATATTAGCGTGATATTAATATTTTGTGGATGTGAATATTTAGTGCACGACTGCTTTTTTGCATTATGTGGGTGCGCATTTTTTTTGGGGGGGGGTGGGGGCGGTGCGTGTTCCATCTGTAACAGACGCATATGCCCCTACACACTACTTGGCCTTTCTTAATTAGATTATTAATATAAGAGGATATGCCATTATTAACCACATAATTAAGAATAAGAATAATATAGTATTATAATAATCACACCACTTTCTTTTTATTGTAATGTATATAAATATAAATATAAATATAATATAATCTAATCTAATATAATAAAAATAGACTACTCAATACGTGTCCTGTCGCCCATGTGATGCCAAACCAGGTGCTTAATGCAGTCAACCAACATGGGCTTTTTTTTTTTTTTTTTTTTAAAAAAATTTTTGAAAGCCATCGTTTACGATAATGTCCTCAAGATGTTAAAACATTAGTAATCGGTAAGGAATTCTTCAAAGTAATTATGATACTTAATTGTCTATTCCTGTTTATACTGTATATTTACTTCAAATATATTTTTAAAATATAAAATATAATCGCTCGTAATTTTATATTGATTCGAGTATTACTAAAATGATTTTATAGATAAATTTAATATCTTATAAGATTAATTTATTTTTTATTATGTTAAAAATTAATAATGCAGTAATTTAGTAATAATATATAATTTATTTTTTTAATAGTATATTATGAACTAATAATAATTAATTTATAATACTTAATTTACTGAATCAAAAAACTTATTTTGTAAGTATATTAATAAAATTGTAATGATTAAATTATACTAAATTTTAACAAATTTACTATATTTTTAGGTAAAAAAATATTATATATTAATTAATTTTTTTAATTAAATAATCGTAATAAATTAAATATCGACATAATCTTTTGATTTATTAAAAAATAAAAAAGAAAACCTAAAGTTAAGATTCTTCATTATGGCTATGGATTTTGTTTCTTTGAAATCTTATTGTCGTGTGAATAATTTAATTTTGACTAAGTTCAAAAACGAAATTAGTTAAAATATTAAAATAAAAAAGTCAAACAAACCTTACGTGACAAAAAAAACTTATAAATATCAATTTATTTCAATTTTATTTAAAATTATATTAAGGGTTCAATATTTATCTCGGTATTAAAAATTCTCCACCTTGCATACTTAAAAATACATTTTAATTTTCAAATAAATTTGATATACAAAATTTATTTATCCGAAATATAAATAAAGTTCGTTTATTCTAAACACAACTTAAAAATAAAAAAAATTCAATACCACATAAATTACAAATAAAACTAAAACATAACTTTTAAAATTCCATTAAATTCTAGAAAATAAAATTTAAAATATATTATTTAGTTTTCTGAATTTTTATTATTACTATTCAACAAACCGTATTCTATTAATTTAGTTGCACAAATAAAACCCACGTAAAGTTGACATTCTCTGTGTTATGTTATATTTAAACTAAAACTATTTTTCAAAACAGGTATATTTATATACAATTTCACCAAAATATGAATGAAATAGTCATACCGCACAAGAGTGAGGATTAAAAATCCACTGCATACTATTCCAAACCCTAATTGTTCCTAAAGAATTTCTAATTAAAAAGAAAACTTATTTTTCTGCTCCGAATTATCATTGCAATAAAACAATATGTTAATACAGACAAATAAATAATACTTTAGGAGTAAAAATTTATATATTTATTTAACAGATGATACATGGATATTAATTATTAAACAGAAACGAAAAATCAAATTAATCATAATAACTCTTTATAAACAAAACTAGGTTGGTAATCGATATTTCTGAACCTAAAGTTTAATCTTATACATCAGATTTTTCACTTTCTTGGGAGAGAGATTCCAATTTATGACAAAAACTTAATTGTATAATAAAAACTCAATTATAGATTAGATCAACTAATCAAAATTCCTGTTACTTCTGCAACAATTAAAGAAGACCATTTAAGGTATATTGCAAGGGAGCATTATTTCTCCTCACACAAACTAGATTCCTCCTGAATTACTTTTTTATAAGACTCACATTTTCAAATGAGAGGAAGTAAAACACTTGAAATTGAAAGATGAAAGCAGCCGAAGCAGTCAGTAGGTGTAAAAAATAATATGACAAACAGAAAAGGCCTTGAAATTGAAAGCCGTTTTGGATGTCCAAGAAACCAAAAAAAAAAAAAAAAAAAAAGGTGTGGCACCAAAAGGGTTACATTTTGGGACTCCCATGTTAGAGGATTTAGTTATGTAATATATGAATACACACGGTGGATGAGGTGTCAAAATTTCATTGGATAAATATATGGCGTTGGCTTCCACTAATGGGACTGGACGTGGGACCCAGCACAATATTTGTTTTCATTCCGTGCAATGATTGTTGGGCGTGATGATCCACAAAAGAAAAAGATAATAAACGAAAGGAAAATGCATGTGCAATGTGGGTTGTTTCTCTGGCACTTTTCTATCTTCGGCTTTATTTTTGTATTTGTTGGAGGTTTGGAATTTTCTTCCTCTGTGAGGTGCGGACAGTTATGCTCCACATTTCCTGCACCGGAGGTCCCCAATTCAATTCTAGTAAGACGGGTCTATAGATATTTATTTTCTTTCCCAATTATAGTTATCGAAAAAGCTGCCACTAATCCCAAAAAAATAGTTTAACCCGCACTGAAGGATTTTTTATTTTTTATTTTTTATTTTAAAAGAAGAAAGAAACTACCTGCTCTGCTTATAAAATCTATGTTTAATTTCTGGGTTTAACACAACTATATTATCACATGACTTTTCCAGCTGTTCTTTGAGCCAAAAGATTAAAAAAAAAAAAAGAAAAAGAAAACTAATAAAATATTCACTTGCCAAAGCCATAAAACGACAACAAACATCATTTTTCTTTTTATTTTTTCCTAAAAGGAAAAGAACAAGCAGATTCCCACCAAGTTCATCTCTCAAAGACAATAAGGTGTGGTTAGTCAATAATGAACAAAGCAGCCTCCTCTTTAATTGTAGAGAGATTGTTTAAAACCTGTTTGATGGTAACTTGTTGGCCATCATGTGTGTGCATAAGCTACAGCAGGGTTCCAGCCTTCCAACAGAAAAAACAAATAAAACATGAACATGCCAGTTTCGGGGCAGTATTGATTTGGCAGCCCCTGGGCTTTGTTTTTATTTTCGAATAAGATGAATAGGCTACAGACTAGTTGGTTCAAAACGTGGAGTGAAAACAAATAGGGAACTAGACAGGCTGATCTGTGGAATAATCAAAGCAATAGCTCTAATTCCAGTATGATTATACGATGCAGTTTTGCTTTGTCTAAAATTCTCCAGTAATACCGTAATCATGAGCCTAATCCTAATTCTCCAACAAAAATCATTGATGCCATGTGTATGTCAATTCACTTTGGGAACAATAAAAAGAGAACCTTAAAAATGTATTATTGAAAACCTAAAACCACCAATGGGCATGATGATGTGCCAGAGAGATTGCCTCCCTTCCGCGAGACACAATAACACAATGAGCAGAAAAGAGGGCAGCGGCATTAACCGGCCCCAAAAAGTAAGTACTTATTGCATGAGGATGGTGAAAGATGAGCCAACATGATTCAGATTGGATTTAGGTGAGGTACTTAACATGGGGATGGATGGTGGAGGCTAACTCAAGCTGATTGTAATTTGGTTAGAGGATTTGTTCAGTAAATCTGAACCGAACCTCATTGTTATCAGAGTACGATGTACAAAAACTTTTTACTATTTGTTTCCACAAATCAGCGACCAATGATCTAGTGTTCAGGTGCTAGAACATAAGAAATTTTAAGGACATGGACGCACTTGCGTCCTATTACAAACTCATAATATATCTAATCCAAGGAAAAAAATATAAAGAAAAAAGAGTTTTCAGATGGTAAGCTTCTTTAACGGGGTTAGTATTCTCATCTGTACATGGTTCTTTCACAAGTCCGAGTAAGAAGTCTGGTGAAGTAACCAGGTCCATGTGAAGATCTGGCTTTCGGGCTTTCATGCGAAGCCTAAATGGTTATCAAAACTACTGTTGAATCGTTTGAGAATTGGAGTTCAAGCACTATTAACTATTAACCCTAACCTTATACGTGAATCGCTACGCGAAGTATCTAAAGTTCATGAACAATCAGAGTTCAAACTGGGATGACAGTCCTTGTACAAACCAGATCAGCGCTAAAGAAAGAATCTGAACCTTAAGTCAATCCAACCAAATCCATTTCGGTGAAATTTCACAGCTTAGATAATTTGAGAATTCGGGACTATGTAGAGAGCTATTACTTGCCTTTATTTCTTCACCCAGCCAAGAATTTATTTTTCATCCTCGAGCTAGCTTCTGTAGAGTAGCATAGTACAAATCATATACATTTCAACTGAACCAGGAAAAAGACACAACATGATTAATTCCTCATTAACAATCGCAGCTAGTAAGAATATCTTCCAAACATGGAAATAAAAAGCAGAACAGTAGAATGTCTGTGCGTGTTCCAGAGACAGCAATTTGCAACAAGATATGACAGCAATACAATATTTAATTGGGAGATTTATAATGACTGGATCCTCATAGCAGCCCTTTCAATAATACATCACCAGAATCAAACAATTTTACACTTATATTAATGCAAATTGATGTTCTCAAATCCCAAGTGCAAGCCCTCGTAAAGGTGTATGAGCGGAAATACATCAAAGCAAGAATGACATCATGGCCAGAATAGTGAATCCAGATAGTGGTTATGAAATTGATGACATGCCACACCTTACATGTATCGTTACGTGATAACCTCCAAAGAGGTGACTTTCTAATTATGTGATTTGTAGTGTCTCCTATAATGCAAGCCCAGCTCTTGATGGCCAATTATTTAAAATTTAACATTTTCTAAGACATCTGAGAGCAATCTGGATGCACTTCAAAATCTAAAACATCCAAAAGACCTAACCTAGTGTAGGACGTGCACTGATCATGAATCTTCTCAAGTGAATTTTGACAGCGTGTAATATTGGAATGACTGAAACTGACATCTCAATGCTACAGGAAGAAAACTTAATGATTCAATTATTACTAAACACACAAAAATGTCCTTGCTTCATAACTGAATCAGATCGTATCAAAACGATGCCTCTGAAAGAAAAGCACATAATCAATGATAATGCAAATTTTCCTTTAATTACACTAAAACTTTGCTTTAAAGTACAAGTAGCCTCTCTCTCTCTCTCTCTCTTTCTCTCTCTCTCTCTCTCTCTCTCTCTCTCTCTCTCTCTCTCTCTCTCTCTCCTCTCCCTCCCTCCTCCCCGAACCTACTCAACCCCACCAAATAAAAAAAGTTCTCTTGTTCAACAAACTCATAATTCAATTGTGAATTACACCGAACTTTTGGCTTTAAGTGCAGCTAGCTTTTCAAGTTTTATAATCTCATTCTTAAACTATGAACACTGTTCAGAAACATTCCAAATTATTTACTTTCTAGGCCAGCTAATCACTCCTAAACCCACTTCATCTTCAAAATAACCTCCCGTTAGAGGAAAAAGAACTTGTATGATTGATCTACATGAATCAAAGGCATTACTATTTCAAAAGATCTGTTTCTTACAAGTGAGTTTCAGGCTCCCTTTATTGACCCATTAATCACCTATCTAACACTCAAGTTTGAATCTTGTATGTCCCGTCATGAAAAAGATTAAATGCCTGTAAGAGTGTATTTGCGTGGTCGTAACTACCTATGTTTGGATTGCACCTTCTAGTCCTTATTTCAAATTATACAAAACTAGTACTTCTTTATTAAGTGCCAGAATATAATGTGTTCATCAGGAAGATAAAAGGCTTACCAAATGATCATTGAGGTTCTCATAAACTCTCTCATATGTCTAACTTAGTCAAGCTTTCTGGTTTTCTCACTGCACCATAGTTTTATCTTGCTGTTCGCTTCCCATTTAGCCTTCAACCACCATTTAAGATTTCCTTCAGATCACATTAAATTTAATGTTTAGTTAATATGATCATTAAGGTTATTGACTCCTGAGGATGTCCTTAGCAGATCCCTTTTTCTGGAACTATTTTTTCCACCTGCCTTAAGCGAGAGGACTCATCACCCTCACCAGATTACTCTTCATAGATCTGAAGCGTTAAATTTTGATAATTATAAGTCATCTCGATACTTGATTCATAAGAACCATTTGCATATGTATTTAGCACCAGTGGACAATCTTTCCAACCAGATATCTTGATAGACAATTCTAATCTAATCATTTGGACTTCTAACGCTTAGATATGCCCACATTACACATTGATCACGAAATTTGAGCATGGTGCTCCGGACCGGCGGCTTCAGTACATCTCATACTCTTGATCAGACAGCGTTCCCAAATAGTAAGTGACAAGTGAAGGTGGGTATGCTATTGAAAGCTGAAAAGGACCATATATGGATTTGAATATGACTATAAGATTCACCGCGGGGAGGGCACAATTCAAAGACAGATGTTTGATACATGAGTTTAGCGACTTTCAACTGAGTGTCAGTTTAAATTGAAAAACTAGTCTTGAGAGAAGATTTTCGAGAAGGAAAATCTTTTGCACCTGAATAGAATTTAAACTATTATTGTGGGGCAAAAAGTTGAAATCCAATGGCGAGAAAATTAGCACGACGTATTATCTTATACTTAACTCCATGTAGTCTGAAGGGAAAGTAACACATGGTATTGCAACCATAGAGTAGCGAAGTAAAAAAATCCTAAAATAAAGGGCTAAGTACAGGTTGAAGAGAGTTTATCTAATCACAGTAGACTCTCCTGGAAAAGTTACAACCGAGATATTTCAAAATACTGTTACTTGTGCACAAGAGAACCAAGGATGACACCTCGAGGACCAACAAGAAGAAAGGGTCATGAACAATTATCCTAGCAGCAAAGATATTACTCTCTACAATAGGACGAACAACGAATCTTCAAGATGTCAGATTTAAAAGGGACTATACAATTTTAACAGGCCACAACAAAAACAGCAAAAGGAGACAACAATATTCATTATTTTAACGGACTAAACAAAAATGTTAATTGTAGTAACCTGTGAGTCTTATCTGAAGTGAGTCCTAACATTGTAATCTCATGTATCAGTTCATTCAGTTAGGGGGCGCTATGGTGGTAGAAATAAAGAATGTAGACAACTTGTCATCCATATTACATAACTATGTATATGCATCTAATACATCTCTTCTTTATTCTTTTCCTTTATTAAGAATGCGTACTTGCAATCAACACATAAAAAATAAGCAGTTTAGAGTGTTTATATTTGATGTTATGAGTTGGATATGTTCCTTTAGTCTCCGCTACTGCATCTATACATTGCAAAATACATACAGGAGGAAGTGTTCACAGCAAAGTAGTTGTCACCAAACTAATCTAATTAGTTCGGCTGCTAAAAAAAAACTACACAATTCTCATGTCAACATAATCTCAACATAAGCATGGCAAAAGTTGATTGAAGATATGAACTACACTGGTAAAAGAACATTGATGCCAAAGCAGACAACCGAGAAACGAACCTTACGTTTCACAAGCTAACATTCCGCCACCTCTATGCAGCGATTCAAGTGGGAAGGGGTCCAATATAAGATGTCTGGCCTCCAGAACTGAAGTATAGAACCATTGAAACCACAAGTATCCAGAGCAAAAAGCAAAGAAGCACAACACAATCCTTAACTGAAATAAGTTCATCCATCAAATCTCTCTTGTAACGCAGATCTAGGTCTTCCTCCATTGGTGCGATCTTGTGATTGTGCAGCTTGTATAGTCCATTGTTTCCCACAGAATCAGTGATTGCAGAGGTTGGAGAGACATTGTACTGCATAAATGTTTCCAGTACTGAAGCTAGGATATCTGGACTAAATTTATGCTTCGGCACAAAGCTCTGATACAGAAGCAGAGAATTCTAGAGATGAGATGAGGTAGGATTAATTTATCAGTAACTAAAAAGTAAACGGTGATTTGCAAACTATTTCCATTAGACAATTTGTGAGATAGTATCAATTTTTATGTAGTACGATACATATGGTGAAAATCTGCGAAAATAAAATGGAAAGAGCAACACAATAAGAATTCAAGTACACTCGTACAGCGTTTGATTTGATAGAAAGAAACCGGATAATAACAGAGAGAAGCCGACATACTTCTATTGTTTCACCGTTGGGAATTAGCACCAGAACCATCAGAAGTCGGAGAGGAATCGGTTGATTCCTTCGAAGTCTCCGGTAACAAATCTTCAGAAACCGAAGTGAATGCATCGCCCAAGCTCTTCCTAGCGATCTTCAGAACGTAAAAAGAAGAAGAGCAAAGAAAAATCAATTTTGAACCTAACAAATGGAGAGACGAAGAGAGGCCAGGGTTTTTGTGTAAGAAATACCTTTCGGTTTCTCTTCAGTAGATATTGCTTCGAGATCCGATTCAAGACATCTGAAGAGCGCATGAGATCCTTTTGCGCAATTTGATTTTCCGTCATTTTGAGCTTTCCTCTCTGTTTGGCGGGAGAGAAATATGAACGTGAAATTTCAAACTAACTGAAAAATGACGCGGGGAACATTTATATATAAGCCGTGAAATTTCAAACTCTGCTGTAATGCCTAACTCATCCCCCAGTTGTCCTTTATGAATGAAGTATATATAATTTAGTTACGTTGCAATCTAAATCATATGATTAGATTATAGATTTCCATAAACATATTATATTTTATAAATTAATTAAAATATTAAAAAAATAGTTTATAAATTGATAATAATGCTCTAAAATTTTATAATTACCAACTAACATATATAGTTTCACAAATAAAATATAAATAAAAAATTTAAAAATTTAAAATATCTTCAATAAAATATTTGTACGTACCAAATAAAGTTTTAAATTTTTAGATTATTATCTTTTAAATAATTTAAAATTATTTAACCTTGCATATTTATCTAATTAAAGAGACAGATGCCGTGTTTGGAAAAAAATAATCAGATTATTTTAAATTTAAGTAGAAATTCTTACTGTGTTCGAATTTTTGATGGTTAGGAACGATTAATTGATCAAATTTGAGTTAATATAAAATTTTATATAAAATTAGAACAATTTTTTCAAGAATTTTCAAAATCAATGAGACAGTATGTGTGTTGTTTTAATGTTTGATTTAATTTTCTGATAGAATTATTTTTTATCATCCTAAAATTATATTATCTCATAATTAAACTAATAAATTTTGTCTTAAATAAAAATTAAGCGTATAAAATTCCTCCAAACGTACCTTAATTTCGGGTTTAATATACTTTTTGGGCCAGGCGTTGTATACATATAATCTAAGCCCATTAAATGAAATTCCCCGACGAAGGCGAATTAGGGTTTTTTCTCCATTCGAATCCCTTGGGGTATAAAAGCCATATTTTAGCCTTCTCTCTAGCCTAGCAGGATTTTACCGCTGAGCTACCTCCCCGATTCAAGTCCACCGGCAACTGGTTTTTGTCTCGCCGGGAGTCTCTTGCTAGCTTAGTTGGTAAAGCTCCACACTGTTTCTTTAAAGTTGTTGTTATAGCTTTGGAAATCCATCATTGTCGTCTTTATTTTGCTTTCTTTTAACGTTTTAGTCTCTGATGTTGCGGTTGTTCATATACATTATGATTTGTTTTCGGTGGATAATCGAACTTTCTCGTTGTTAAGATTTGAGTTTAAGTTCAGTTGCTTTAGGAGTTAGGATTTTTAGGTCATCAGAGATTGATAGTAATGGATATTATCATGAAAAGTTTGAGGGGTTGGACTCTGTTTATTTGTATCTGGAATATTTAGTACCAATTGCTTTTGCTGTTTGGTAGAGCTAGAAGCTGGTTTTTCTTGTTAATTTCTCTCTTTACCCTGAGTCCATTTGGAGCTTCATGTTGGTAACTGATGTCTTGTGTTTAATCTTAAGTGGCTGGTGTTATTCTTCCTCTTTTATTTGATTAAGTAGGAGCTTCTTCTAATGGTCTAAGTAATCCTTAAGTTTGCAATAGGAGAGTCAAATACCACAAAGAGCAGCAAGTTTATTATATGATTGCAGCATTATTTTTCTTTCTATGATTGTTTACTTGTCGATGAGAGAAGGAAATTTGAAGTGCAAAAAATGTTGAGTATGCCATGCTGTATTTGATGCACCTAATTGGAGATACTTGAAGGGTGAGAAACTGTTTTCCCCATTCGATTTTCCTTTTATTTCCTCTCTCCATGGCTTGGACCCATTTATATACTCCTCCCCCTTCTCATACTACGTTTTTACCATCACCAGTGTCCTTTCTTGAGTATTGTTTTATCCCTTGTTGAATTGATGAGAATTCATCTCATGTTTCTACTTGTTTGTGATATTTAAGATCAATTTGCAAGGATGTGGACTAATATTGTTTGCGTGTGCGTGTGCGCATGCAAGTGTTTTTCCGTTTTCTTCTATTGTTTCGTTGATATAAAAGTGAGAACGGTCGAGAGGATAACTAGGTATTGCTGTATCTGTTAGTTTAATTTGTTTCTGATGTGAGGATATTGCTGTCAAATTAGGTGTATCGAGCTAACTTTTTTCTTGTTAACAAACGATCAGCCAAGATGCAGAACGAAGATGGTCAGAACATGGATCTTTACATCCCCAGAAAATGGTATATTGATATTTTCATCGATCAATTCCTTTTCAAATCAAGCAATGTTAATCTGGTTATTAATTCATGATTTGCCGTGGTTGCAGTTCTGCAACAAATCGACTCATCACGGCAAAGGATCACGCATCTGTCCAGATTAATGTTGGACATTTGGATGCCGATGGTGTCTACACTGGACAGTTCACCACTTTTGCCCTCTGTGGATTTGTTCGTGCCCAGGTGCGTTTTCTTATACATAGTCTAAGCAATTAGCTACCTGTTTCCAAGTTCAATTTAGATTTCGAAATCTCCATGATTTAAGCAATGAACTAACTTGGGAACCATGCAGGGTGATGCTGACAGTGCCCTCGACAGGCTCTGGCAAAAGAAGAAAGTTGAGGCCCGCCAACAATGAGTAGTTTCCATGGTTGGTTCTCTTGGGTTTAAAAGAAAGGAACTTGATAGCTGTATTCATCTATTCCCATTTGGTCTTTTTGTGAACTACTTCAAAGTTGGTTATTTGTCTGGACCAAGTTATTTTTCGAGCTTAATTTGAAAACGAAGTTTTATTTGGTGCGTATTTTACATTACTGTGATGTCAATCGGCATTAATTTTGGTATTTGTCTGCATGGAATGTGAATTATAGGATCTGAAGTGTCTATCGGTTCATTCGTTCGATAAGCTTATGATACTTCTCGATCAAATCTTCCTCTTTCATTCAAGAGAAGAAGATTGTTGGTTTTTCCAAAAAGAAGGGGGAATTTCAGTAAAAGTAGTATGCATGAAATTGATAAAAGAGGGTAAGTAACAAATATTTACCAAGTAAAAAAATATTGAGGAGCGCGAGATCTGAAAATGGTAAAAAGTAAGATTTAATTTTACATTGCTTAAAAAGATACATATGATAATATATTAAAAAATATTTATAATTGATTTCAACTTTTTTTACCGTACAACGTTAGGGGGGTAAAAAATATCCGAAGAACGCCTTCCAAAGTTTCTTATTTTATCTCAATTATCAATAAATGTCTGACCTCAGTTGGGTAAATATAAAATTTTTACGTGATATATTATCATAATAAATAATAAAAAATAAAATTTTAAAAATATTAAAGCAACGTAAGGATATTCGTAATGGTATTTTGCTTAATAAAATTTTAAATATATTATTTATTATTTAATTAAATAATTAATATATTTATTTTTGCAAAATAAATCGTACGTTTAAAGAGAACGTAGGTTCAAATTAAATTATATTAATTTTTGTAATATTAATAATAATATATATATAGATAATCTAGTTAATAAATAAATAAATAAATTTTTAAATGCATCATTCCACCAACTTTGTAAGACGAGCGGGTAATTAATTTTCACTTCAAAGGCCGAAGCCCATTTTGAAAGTTTGGTAACTCCAAACTTTCTTGCCTACTTTGTGCCGCCGTCGTCCTGCGTCTGGCTCTGGTTGCATCTGGCGAGAGAGTATTAACTAAAACCCAGCCAGTTCCTAGCAAATCGCAGCAGAATCTCGAAGAACCAAAACCTCCACTGAGAAAAGCTTTGCTTATTCGTCTCTGTTTTTGATCTATCTACACCTCTATTTTGTTTGCTATATTTGTCTGGTGTTGCGGTTGAGAATGGCATCGTCTTCTTCAAAATCAGGAGGTGGTGTAACAGAGAGACGAGGTATACCGGCAGCTCAGTTCGTAGAAGATGTGGAGACTTACCTCTCTCAGGCCGGCCTCGATGTTACTTCCGCTCTTTCCTTTCTCCAAGAAAGGTCTTCCTCTTTCTCTCGCAGTCATATCTTGATTACTTCACTATTTCAGCTATCAACCTTTGCGATTTCAGTATTTACGCTTGGCTCCTTGTGATCTTACACTGTTACTCCGTGCTAGTTTTTATTTATTATTGCATCTCGTTGGAGACGAATGAGCATGGATTTACTACTCTCAAATTTGAGGAACAAACTTCAGGCATTAGTTCAGTGAATAATCTAAATGGATATTTACGAATTTAACTGCCTTAAGTGTGTTGTTTTGAAATTCATATCTTCGTGTTATATACCATTGACATTGAATTTGATGGTTCATGATTAAATTATTCTAGTTTGGGAACAATTCTAATTTATTCCTAATCTTTTTGGATCAATTAACTGATTTTGGTGCGTATTTACGAGGGAAAGAAGGCTATTTTTTATCTTACGATTTTTGATATTCTTCAATTTCAATCATCCGGGATCTTACGAAATTTCAGTTTAAACCCAATCGTACACTTATTCTAAGCTCGGCACAGCTATATTTCTCATTTTGAAAGTTTGTGCATATCTATTTCATCCTTTCTTCTACCAAATGATCATAGGCTGATGGATGAACTGAGTGTTTAGATGGATATATTGCCCTTTTGTGCATTTATCCTGTTGCATGCATAAGGTTTTCAAATTCAATTTGGTCTTATAACATTATATCTAGTTCTAACATATGGTTCCCCAATAAATTATTGTAGGCTTCAGCAATATAAATTGGTTGAGATGAAACTTCTTGCTCAGCAGAGAGATCTTCAGGTGCTATTACCGGTCCTATTTCTTTGTCTTTTATATGATTATATGTATAATATTTGAAATATACGATCTCTATTTCTGTGGTCCTACCTATTAAGTTGTGTTTATCATGAAGTATGAGCTGAAAATACTGCTGTTCAAATAGTCATTGTGGCATTGTTTCATTCATTGTGATTTTGCTAAGGTTTCTTCTCATCAGGAAATATCCTCCTTTAGAAGCAAATCGGGATGCTTCCATTTAACAGGCAGATTGTTATTTGTATCTCATGTGAAAATGTGTCCAGCTTTCTAATAACTACTTGATAATAGGGGCTCTATGGGAAGCTTGGGTAAATGAAATGGCAACAATGTACTGTTGCATACTTTTTTTCTTTCTATAACAATCTCAAAGTCTTCTGAGCTTATTTAATCTGTAGGTTAATTTGTCCTAAATGGAAGATTAACTTGTTTGGAGCTGCCCTTGACTTAGTATTCTTTTTAGGTTTTGGCAGGGCAAAAAAGTAACCTATTTTGTTTTTCAGCTTGCAGCCAAAAATCTAGATTTCATTATTTTTGTAATTTTGCTTTATGACCAAAAAAGGTTCTCTTTACTTCTTGAGACCTAGATGATGGACATGTAACCTTGCATTTCATCTCCTTTTTCTTTTTTTTTTTTAGAAAGAAAATTAAAATCAATAACTGTTGTGACATTATTTCAATAACTTATCTAATTTTTCTCCTTTTTCTTTTTTTTATCTCCTTTTTCTTGTTGTGCTTATACTTATCTAATTTGTCTTCGATGTGCTGTTACTCATCTATGCTCGGTTTTCGACTGTGTCACTATTTTATGTGAAACTGTATTCTTATGTGGTTATCAGGGAAAGATTCCTGATATTGAGAAGTGCTTGGATGTGGTTGCCACTTTACAAGCTAAGAAGGGTACTGGTGAGGTTCGTTTTTGCATGTTCTTTTTTGTTTATTTGATCTTACATAGGCTTCAGACTCTTTAACTTCTATATGAAGAAGTCCATCACATTGTGGTGCTTGTCATGTCTCTTGGTATTGGAACCTGCGAGTAAAGAAGTTTAACAATGTTTATTCTTTTGTTGGATGGATTTTAATCTGGCTAGTTTAGTCTTTAATGGTTAATCTGGGACAGTTTTTAGGAGGTGCTGGGAAAACTGAAGATGCTTATGCAGGAAAGGAAGCTTTCATTTGATTTGCCTTGACTATCAGCAAGCTTTCTATTTCTTTGCTTTGTTGGATATGATTGAGCAGAGTTCTGACATAAAAAAAAAATATATATTTAAAAATAATCTCAACCCCTTGTTTGCTTTGTTTCTTTTGGAGGATATCTAATCCTCCTCATTTGTATCTTCTCCTCCCTTTTAATACATCTTTTTCTATTAAAAAGAAAAAGAATTTCAACCCATTTTCTTCCTTTTATCCCATATTTGTGTGCATCTTGAAAGACCAAACAGCCCAGGACAGAGCTAAATAAATTTACATCTCCTGTGAGAGAAAGAGAGAAATGGTTGAGGAGAGAAATGAGAAACCATGGTCTATGTAAAAAATCTCATTCATGTTTATAAGTACAAACCAGAAGCCAAGGCAACGATAAACATAGAGGTCAGAAATTGGAATGAAAAGTCGGCAGATGCAAACTTATGGTGAAACTTGGAAATTTTGTAATTAAGCTAAAACTTCAGAAATAATGATTCATCTCATATATTAAAGAGCTTCCACATAAATAATTTATCTCCATATTTTTACTACTGGGAATTGATACTTTAGGCATTAGATGGAATTGATATGTTAGATGTTAGATACAAATTGATTGTGTGTTGTAAATTATCTCTACTTTATTTGTTAATTGACTTTGCATCCTCTCTTTTGTTGTTCAATCTAACGGCCAAAGAATTAGAGTTCTTTCTTGTAACGGGAAGTTTTCTGTCTTTTTTATTTGCTGCTCATTATTCATAAGTTTCGTACAACTATTCTTATATTTCATTTGATGCAATTTTACCCGAAAAACATAAAAATAGTGGTGTGCCAAATGCATATATGTGCTAAGAATATTACTTTTTTCTCTTGGGCTCTTGATCTTTATGCAGGCACTTATTGCTGATTTTGAAGTTTCTGAAGGCATATATTCAAAGGCTCGCATTGAGGACACAGATTCTGTGTGTTTATGGCTTGGAGCAAATGTCATGTTGGAATATTCATGTGAAGAGGTCCAGCCTTATATTTTACATGCTGTTGGGTCCTTTCTCTTCATTTGGGACACAAGCATAAGTTCTTTAGTATCTTTGTGATGCAGGCCACTTCTCTTCTTAAGAAGAATCTAGATAATGCTAAGGCCAGCTTGGAAGTTCTTGTGACTGATTTGCAATTCTTGAGGGATCAAGTGACAATAACTCAGGTACTATTGATTTCATTATGTTTTTCTTTACTCTTTATTCTTCAGCCCAGGCTGGGTTTATTGGAAGTTGTATTATGAACTTTCTATAAATTGAACAAACCATCCCATCAGGAAAAGAACCGAGAAAAAAAACGTGGAAAGATTTTCTTTTCCCTTTTATGGGATGGGAGTAAAGAATAGTTATAAGATGTATACAGCATGAGAGACATTACTTCTGTAAACTGTATAGTGAAGTTCGGCAATTTGTCTTAATTTCCAATTCTTTCCTCTTTTCTTTTACAAGCGAAGTGATTGTGTTGTTGATTAATTTTTATGCCCGTTGGACAGGTCACTGTTGCCCGTGTCTATAATTGGGATGTTCATCAACGCAGGACTCGACAAGCTGCTGCTGCTGCTGCTGCTGCTGTGACTACTCCTGCATAACATTTGTGAAATGAAAATTTTATTTCTCCCTGATTCAGTGGAGGTAGAGTGTGATTTCCTCGGGACAGTGTTGCTTTAGTCTTTTCTTTATTCATTTTATTGATCATTGTCCTTTACTTCTAGTGCTCTAAAAGTTTTGCTTAAGGGTCTTATCTGTATTCTGCAGTTTCAGGTTCTCCATACAAGCACCTGAGGTGGAAGAAGAAAATTATCGTACTTAGTAGGATCAATTTTGATATATGATAAAACTTTCGGGCTTCATTTGTAACGCTTTTTTATACTGGTTTGCGACTTCTAGGATGATGGATGTCTTGCACTTGTATGCATACGATGTTTGTTCCCTTAGTTGGCTTGATTAGTTTGATGTATCAGTGCATGGAATTCGAAATTTACTTTTTTGGGATCTTCCAACTGGCACTTCATGAACTATGATTTAAATTTGAAAATTTGGGTTAGTGGTGGAAACAGTGGGACCAGAAGGGGCTTCAAGGTCAAGGATATGTGTCGGTGAAAGTCTTTCAGATGAAAAGGTGGGACATCTGATGTCAGCACCATCTTATGCTTATTTGTAGATTGAGATGTTTCGTATGGTATAAGGCTGCAACAGTCTGCCAGGAAAAACACATGATGGGAAGCTTTGATATATTATTCTGTTTAGTAATGAAATGATCTTATATTGGAAAGGAACAGGATTGGAATACATCATAGGTTAGGGAACACTAATGCATTCTGGTTTCACAACTTATTGCCGAAATCAGGAGTAGGTTCGTGCATGCTCGATGCTGGCATGCTGAGGGCTCTGTTGATGGTCAAAGCAGGAGCAATCTGTAAAGCAACTTCTGATGGCATGCAGAAGAGTAAGAAGGTATGGTTTGACATCTCACTTTGCATCCTGATCACCTGCTGGATCTGCTTTGTAGCTCTTCTCTCTCTTTATTTGTGTATATTTATACTCTACAGGTTCTTGGTGGTGCACATCTTGACTGTTGGGCTAAAAGCCTTTTAGAAAATGTACGGGTTTCAGTGAGTTGGGTTTGTCTCCTTCGAGTCTTGTAGAATGTAGACTACTTGGCACACCATGGTTAGAATGTCCTGCGTCTTTAGCCCGTAAAACTTGAAGAACTGTGGTGGCTTCCAAAACTTTGGGTTTAGATTTCCAAAATTAGGAAGGTATTAATTATGTTTCCAATATTATCTTATAATCTTCTTTGTATTGTTAAAGGGTACCATCAAAGTAAAACTTAAACTCTAAAAACAACACAGTTAATCTACGTAGTTGATATGTTGGCCATAGACGAAACTTATAGAATCTCCATACGGAATTTAGAGAAAATACCTTTGTAGTAAAAGCAGTTTGAGGTAGTTATTGGAAAGATGAATTCTTCAGTTTGAAGTATAACATGCCATGCTTGCTGCTTAGGTTGTCTTATTCTATCACCCTCAGACTTCAAGTGAAAAAAGGAACAACTGCCTTTATTAATTCAAATTTTTTTCGGGGAGAGAGAGAAGGGAGACATTGAGAAATCTAGTGAAATTTGGCATTTTGATTATTATGGGAACTTGCAAAATTTTTCTCATAACTAAATCTTGGAATTAGGGTTTCATTTTCTTCTTTATGTAGAGAAAGAGAATCCTACACTTTTCACAAACGAAAGGAAAAACGTCTCGAGTTTAAATATATCGATACATGTTCTAAAGGGTTAGCACTTTACTAGATTATTTCCCTTTTCACTGAGGTTTTTTTCGTGAATGGTTACACCTCAACAGACAAAATTCGATTCAAACTCTCTGTATAATGAAAAAGAATACAGCACCCATTGGTGGAAATACAGCTCTCTGCTGCAACTCTCTCTTAATGGAAATAGCAATTTGTAGGGAGAGTCCATGTGGGGGCCAAACCAAAGTTGTTAATGTCAAGAAAGCTGCTGGGAAGTTTAGGAAATGAGGGAAGGAGGAAAAAGAACAATTGATCCAGTCAAGTCAAGAAAGATGATGTAACGTAATCGTTGAAGAGCACAACAAAGGTCTCTCACTTCTCTCTTTCTAATTTTTGACTTCATGGACATGGCCTCTCTCTTATACATGTATTTAAATGATGGTCCCATTTGATAATGTCAAAAGCCACTTGAGAGGTTTTTGAAAGGTTTAGAAATATAATAATGTCTTAATATTACGGCCAAAAAGAAAGAATATATATCTGTATACGTGTGTGTGTATATATATATATATATATATATATCTAATTGCTAATTCTCCTTATTAATCCAAAATGTTAAGTTGTTGACTAGGTCTTGAGAGTTTTATTTTAAAGGTTTTGTTGGGGGTTGGGTTTGGTTGACTAGTGAAATTGAATATGATTTGAAGACTGCGGTCCAGGGAGAGGGAGAGAAAGGGAGAGTTATGATAATATGTTGAATTTTGTGACCCTGGGATTAAAAAGCGTAGGAGAAATACTACTGCTTTTGACTCTTAATTTTACTTAGTCCAATTACTTTGTTTAATTTAAAGTTAATGGAAGGTGTCTTTTTCAGAATCGACAATTGAAATAGGATTAGCATGTTATTAACTAGTAATCAATGTTGATTTTCATTCTTGAAAATATTAGAAAGAAGTGGTGAAATTGGAAATGGATAGATACATACATATACATATGTATGTATTTTATTTTTATATAGTTTTTTTTAGATTGTAGCGATCGTAGCGGAGAGAATGATATTGGGACCCAAGTGGCTGAGACTAGTGAGGCTAAAGAAAGAAAAGTGTCGGCAAAACTGCAAGGGGAGGAAGAGACAAGAGGCGTGAACCTGATGTCACGTCTCTGATTCACCTCAACCTGTACTTTGTGATCAAAGGGGTTTGTATATGTATATGTTGATATGAATATATATATGTATATAAGAAAGAGAGGGTCCTGATATAGGTTATATCCTTAATTTTGGAGCAGCCACACGAAGGGTTCAAAGGAAATCCAATCACAGTCTGCTGTTCTTTGCCTACATATATTATTAACTACATTATCTTTCTTCACACACACACACACTACATTCTCCTTCTGCTTCCTATCACATTCTATTATGTTTTTGAGAGGAGGTGTAATATAATATATATATATATATGTATAGTAATATCTTATAGTTATTATTTATTTTATTATATAATTGTTTCCTTAAATATGAGAATATATATATATATTTTTAGTACAGTTCTTGTAAGAAAAATTATATAAAAACATATCCTTAGCTAACAAGAAAATTATGTAACATGAAGTAATTAAAAACTTTCTTGACTTTGACAACAGAATATGTCAACATTAATTACTGACTCCTGTTTCTTAATAGTTAATTAATTACTTTATTTTTTGTATTCTACTAACCACCCCATTCCTTAATACACACATATATATATATAATGTATATAGTATGTAATTTTCGCTTTTTATATTATGTTTAATTATGCATAATTATTTTTGAAAATAATTTTGCAATGTAATTTTTATTTTTATTTTTTGTAATTTAATATTCTTATTTAGTGGGGGAAGGTACACCTTTTATTTCATGCAATAAAAATTTAAATCGAATCACAAAATTTTATAGAGACGTGCACGCAAAACGAGGCTGATTTGTCCTCACTGCCTTCCCTAATTAAAGTCATTTTGTCCGTTTATGATAGTTGCGCGTTTTAGCCTCTACAGGCATTTACCATATTTATTTAATCATCAATTGTTGACTTTGACTTTTTATTATTATTCAAAATTTACGAAATTATTTATTTATTCTTTTTATATTTTCTAATAAATTTAAAAAAAAAAAAAGCAGAATTATCTCTTCTCTGGAATCTCATGCCTAAAATTTTATAATAAAAAATAAAAATAAAAATAAAATAATAAATACTTTTGGGTGCGGGAATTTAATAAGGAGTAATTAATTTCGAAATGCCGCAATCAGCGCTGAGTGTTTTAATTTCATCAAATTACCAAAAGTCAACGGTTTAATGGATCGGAGACCCGACCCGGTTTCTATTCATTATTTTATCTTATATCAGTAAGGTAAAATTTGGATTTGCCTGAATTAATTATTAGCTTATTTATTTAATTACAACTTGCTCGTGTACTATAATTATTTAATTAATTTGATTTGAAATTTAAATTATAATTTAAAAAACTATTTAGAATAAATTAATAATAAAGGACTATATGATATTGAAATAAAAAATAATTATAATGAAGCAATTAGACTAATTAAAAATTTAAACAATTTTTAGACACTGTTAAAATCTGAAAATAAAATTAGAAATATTTTTTAAACACAACATAATATTAATGAATTTTGTATTAGAGAAAATTGAAATCAATCTCGATTATAAACTAATATATATATACATATATAATTGTTAAGTCTCATCCCATTAATTGGTATAATGGATGTATATAGATGTACTACGTCTTGGGTCATGAAGAATAGGAGAGTTTTAATTGTAAAATAAAAAGGAAAACATATATATATATATATGTATATGTGTGTGTGTGTGTGTATATATATATATATATGTTTGATAGTTAATGGCGTATATTAAAAAAAGCATAAATGAAGCAAGAATAATCATAATTCTACAATAATAATAAAATTATAAATTAGGAATATTAAGTGGGTTGCTCTAGTCTAGTTAGAATCTAACTTTGTTTAGCAAATACGTAACCAGATTATTATATTTGTGGATGATGTCAACATTAGTCTAGAAATGGAATCACCAACATGAACCCTAAACCTATAAATATGTATATACATACATTTATACGTACACGTACAAAACCTCCATGTAGTACACATAATTTTTTGTATCTACATTATAAAGCAGATTACGTATATATATATATATATATTTATATATGAATAACATGGGATGGATATGACATGGTACGATCTCTTGAAAAAAATTATGATTGATGGGATTAATGTCTGCAAATATATAAACCCACAACATATATCTAAGCTATAGCATGTGAAACTTTGCATTAGCCATGTGCATATCCATATCACTTTACACCATATATATATATATATATATATATATATATATATATAAACCCACAACAACCCATATGCTGATACATATATATATATATAACAAGAATATCACCACATCACAACATAGAAATATTTAAGGACTACCATACTTCCCTATCATGTACTATAAATACTCACGTCTAATTATAAAACAATTTAAAAATTAAATTTAACGTGTTAATTCTCCCTCTGTGTCTCTCTCTCTCCCTCTCCCTCTCTCTCTCTCTCTATATGTATATATATATATGTTTGGCATTAGATACGCACCACCTCACGTGTCAAATGCGAAAAGGATCAACCCATTTGTGATTTAAAAAAAAAAAAAAAAAAATTTGCAGTGTGGTTGAATAAACAACTATTCAACACTTTGACCTTTGACTTTGACTTCTTCATCGACCATAAATGTAATTTACATCCTCATCCTCTCAACAACGACTATTTTGACCTTCTAGATTCACAGTAATTAACTGCGTACCCTCAACGTATATTTACTTTTCAAATTTGACCCGTTAATTAATCAATAATTATAGTTTTAACCAAAACATAAATAAATAATTCTTAATACCTTAATTTACACTAATCTTTTTTTAAATTAATCTAAGAATTCGTAATTACTTTATCGGAATTACCGTGGAGAATTTGTCTGTTTGTTACAGAGATTTAAACTTAGGAAGGAAGCCAAAAAAAAAAAAAAAAAAAGGTCAAAAGACTGTCTGCAGGGAGATACATGTCGTAAGGCAAAAGTCAACAAAACATGCAGCTTTAAATACCATAAATATTATTAATAATTTTATAATTTATACCCGTTTTAATTAATTTATTTTATAAATATTAAAATTTTCAAACATACTTAATCACAACCCAAAATAATTATGGTCTCTAGTTAATAACGTTACTTAACTAATAATTAATGATTATTAATTATTATTATTTGTTTAATTCTAATAGTGAAAATAAAATTTTCTTTAATTAATAATTAAGAAACAATATATATATATATAGAGTTTTTTTTTATGTTACAAGAAAAGCAAAAAACTAAATTACACAAGAATTTTTTATGTGCATCCGAAATTAAGAGACATATATGACATTATTTATGAGAAGTTGCTGGAGATCAACGGGCACCCGAACATGTTGATGGAGACCCAATTGTAAAGAAAAATTAGTATTTACCGATCAGTCTGTGTATTTATTTCTTTCACGATAAATATATTGTATGCGAACATGTCAATTATAATGAAACAAGTTTTTAATTTTTCGAACAAAGACACCGTGCGCATTAGTACAGTGATCTTCCTTTGTAAGCAAACGTACGATCAGAGAGCTATCTATTTCTAAGATAATATTGCGGTATCTAACATTTGAAACGAGTTGTAAACCACTGAAGGTCCCCAAAACTCGGCCTGCAGAATTGAACAATCGCCAATCTTTCTGCTAAAGATAAAGGGCGTAATTTTTTATCATAGTAAATCCCGCAAATTAAAATAACTAAGAAAAGCGGAACCATCTAAACATAATAATTTTTTTTTTTAAAAAAAAGAAAAGCTTGTAAAAAATATTTAATGTCGACATTTTTAGGCATTTGGAGTAATAATTCCAATTTTTTTTTTTTAAATAATATTTTAATTTTAATTTTTTGACTGAAAATACTTTTAATAAATTAATAAAATTTAAAAAGGAAATACATAGGGCGTGACTTAGAAGCAACCCATGTAGGAATATACTAAAACCGCGTAAAGCGCATGTGCTTTTACAGCCATTTGAATTAAAAAAATAAAAAAAACGACGACCGTCCGATCTGACACGTGTGAGTAGATGAGTAACTTTCCTCGTCCCCTCATCGAGCTCTGAGCAGCGATGACGACCCGGGCCGTGTAGTGTGCGATTTGCCAACGTCGTTTCAGGAAAACCATACATGAATTATATGCATTTATTTATTAAAAAAATAAATAGGAATAAATTTTATTTTATTATTTTTAAATTATAATTCATTAAAAATTTTTAATATCACTACATTAAAAACATGATAATATATACAATAATAAAAAAGTATTTATCGTCCGATAAACTTTAATATGATATAAAATATACTTCTTACGATACAAAAGAGAATCTATATATACATAAATATGTTAAAATAATACACATTATATATATAATATTTTTTTCTTTTTTAACCCTCGAAAATATTTAGATAATACATTGTTTCGGGTCTCGACAACTCTCGTTTAATATCAAAATTCGATAATTTATTTATCGGCGGAATTTGAAAAGAAAAATCAACGTACGAGTTAGGTTGAGCGATGAAAAGTTTGGCAAAACAAAAAGAAAAAGTCGTATTTGCGCCTTTGGAAAATGACCAAAAGTATAAATATTAACATGTAAATAGAACCTTAATACCTTTGTGTGCGCGTGTGTATGTATATATATATATGTGTGTGTGTGTGTGTGTACGTATAATTGATGAAGATATGGATATGTATATATGTACATATGTAGACATCACACTGTACGAAAGTCTGTACCATGCACCATCATTGCATTTGCATAATAGATCAAATTGATCATAGTGATGCAGACTGTCTATTTTAATTTCCGATATGGGACCATTCCCATGCATAAAGTTAAAAAAAAATTCTTCCAATTATTATTTCCCCTCTTTTTATTTTTATTTTTTAAAATTTAAATTTGGTGCAATTCCATTAAAAAAAAAAAAAATTGAAGTTTTCAGAACGTAATATACGAAATTAAATTAATTTAAAAATAAATAATTTATTATTTAATATTATTATCTTATTCTGAAAAATTGAGAAAATAAATTAATTAAGAAAAATGGAAAATTAAATTAGTGTTGGCTTGTCGGGTAAGAACCGAGCGAGTCCGGTGAGACGGTGACGCGTGAATTGCGTCAGCGTACGGCGAGCCTTCCTAGCCGAAACTTCTTTTCACCGCGCGTTATTTACTTTCCAACTTTTTAAAAAAAAAATTATTTTTTGTTAGAAAAAATTAAAAATAATTAAAATAGATAATGAAAATTAGTCTTTTACGAAATTGCCCCTCAACTTCTTCAATATTACTTTTAAATCAACTTTTTTTTATATTCAAAATAATAAACATCCGAATAAATATATATCATTACTTAAAAAAAAATGAACGTTTAATTATTATATCTTATTTCAAATTTAAATTTTATTAAATATATTATAATTTGATAGTGATAAAAAAATAATATTTAGTTTAATTAGTTGGAATGTTATTTTATTAATATGTTAATATAATGATAAAATTAAATTAAAATTTAATGACTTTATTATATTTTTAGATGTAAAATATTTTAAAATTGGTTGTTCAATATAAAAAATTTAATTGTTATTTACTTATTATGTCTTTAAATTTATAATTATAAAATTTGTATTTTTAAATATTAAATAAGAAATTTCATAAACATTCAACGTAAATAAAAACATGGAATTGGACTAATTAATATAACATAATAATGTTAAAATATTATTATAAATAAATAAATATATACATATATATATGTGCATGAATGCTATATAATTATTTTTATAGTTTTTTTTTGAATTATTATCATACTTAATTATGCACCAAGTAGGAACTTCAAGATGTGACAAACTTTTAAAATTCTTAATTACAACGTAAATAAATACACTATTTAAATGGGGCCCTCTCCCGAGTTTTTTATAAGGGAAAAAAAAAAGTTAAACGAGGGGCATTAAAGTCATTTCACACGGGGCATTGTGTTTTGCGTTTTGACGTGGTAAGCACGTGATCACGTAAAAACAAAAAGATAATGTTGCCGTTATAAAGGCCGTGAAAGGAACTTAAAATAAATAAAAATTGAAAAAATTGTATTTATAATAATAATAATTATTATTAAGAATTTTAAATAAATTTTTTATTTTTTGAAATTTTAAAATATTAAAATTTTGCTGGCTTCATGAGGAATTTTTGTTTTGATAATTTTGTTGTGTTTTTTTTTAAGGAAAAAAAAAAAAAAAAAACGGAGCAGTAATCACATGCAGACGACACAAACTTTCTGCTAGCCCACGTGTTGGGCCTCAAGTTCTCACGGTCGACAAGCTACCGGCTAAACCCGTCAAAATCCCGCGTAGGCGAATGTGGACCCCACGGTCGGTTCTCGAGCAATTAATGCCCAACACCGTCCTTCACCCCCAGCTTTGGGCGTACACATTCTTGACCGACAGATGTCAGTCATCCTACGCTTTTCTTTGTTTTTGTTTTTTGAATTTAAATTTAGTTTAAAAAACCAAATGGGAAACCTCCTAAATCCAAGCTGTTCTCCAAATACCCAACCCGAGCAGCCCATTCACACTTGACAGAACCAAATCCAAACACTGTGTTTCACACTTGGTGAAGGAGAGGAGAAGAAGGAAACTAAAAGCGCTAAGGAATAATAATAATAATAATAAGAGAAATGACGAAGAAGAAGAATATTATTATTACTCGGTGGTGATTGTCTGCAACTGATGAGAAATTCTATATGGAGAAGAAGAAGATAGAAGAGGAATTAGGAGAGACGAGCAATTGGAATATGGCGAATTCGATGTTTTCCGACGAGGCTACTTTGGCTTTTTCAAGCATCTTTGACAATATGACACCATGTGATCATGGCGGTTCTGGTTATTCTGGTTCTGGTTCGGGTTCTGGGTCTGGTTATTCTTTTGGCTTTACGGACTTACTGGGTATCAACCATGATTTTCCTGCTTCCTCTTCTCCTTTATTCGATTATTATTCTTCGCTTCATCACCCACCCACCAACGCTTTCCCCTTCCCAACAACACAACAATTCCAGGGACAGGGACAAGATCAGGAGCAGGAGAAGAAGAAACAAGGGCTGGCGCCGTCGCCGGTGTCGACGACGGTGGCTGCTGAGTCATCGGAGGTCTTAAACAACCCACCTACGCCTAACTCATCTTCGATCTCTTCGTATTCAAACGAGGCCGGAAATGACGATGACCATCATCATCATCATCAACAGAGTACGAAAGATCAGGAGGACGAGCAAGATCAAGACAAGTCCAAGAAACAGTAAGTTCTGAACCAAGCTGACTAGATTAAGTCTTCACCTTATTTGCGTATCCAGCACTTTATCACATATATAAATACACACACACACGCACAAATATACATAATATATTGACCAGTATCATTCTAGGAGAAAACTCTGTAAACGAATGAATCAGTTGTAACTCGATATACACACATATAGACAAATATATTTGATCTGTTTCTGTTTCGATTTTCTTTTCATATAATTTGTTCTTTTAATGAAAAAGCTTGTTGTTTGGTTGGTGGGTTTATTTTTTCCAGGTTGAAACCGAAGAAGAAGAACCAGAAAAAGCAAAGAGAGCCACGATTTGCGTTCATGACAAAGAGTGAAGTCGATCATTTAGACGACGGCTACAGATGGAGGAAGTACGGCCAAAAAGCTGTCAAGAACAGCCCTTATCCCAGGTAAATCTACATTCTCCTCCCATATACGTACACACACACACACACACACACACACACACACACACATACACACATATATAGCTGCTAAAATATATGTATAAATTTGTTATATACAGGAGCTACTATCGTTGCACCAGTGGAGGATGCGGAGTGAAGAAGAGAGTGGAGAGATCCTCTGAGGATCCAACAATTGTAGTGACAACCTACGAAGGGCAACATACACATCCATGTCCCATTACGCCACGTGGAAGCATCGGGTCAATCCTCCCTCAGAATCCAACGGCTGAAAACTTAATCGGTGCTACAGCATCTTCTTTTCTCGAACCTCCATACTTGAACCGGCAACAACACCAACGACCCTATATCTACAGCCCATCTCCTTCCTCGAACGTCATTAATATAAGCACCAGTAATAGTACTGGTCCAGTTGGTACTACTACTTTCATTGATCCGACGTCGTTTTCAAGCTTTGCCAACGTACCACCAGCTCCGTCTCCATCTCCAACTCCTACTCTTTCTTTGCTCAGAGACCATGGCCTTCTTCAAGATATCGTCCCATCTCAGATGATCAGATCCATTAACGAGCCGAAAACGGAGTTGAAATGATGATATATTAATGGAGGGTTTTTGTATTAATTGGTACTGCATGAGCTGATCATGAGCTGGTAATTAATGTGGTATGTAATTTTCTCTAACTTAATTAATTTGACTGGTCTTCTGGGTTAATTTTATTATCTCTAGAGAACAAACCCACTTCACCTTTTTCGTGATACATAGCTTTCAGATCATGTCACTGTAACATTATATATATATTGAGCTAGCTTATATATATTTAGAGTAGTCTTTTAAGCTCGTGGGATATTGGCTAATTTTTCTGCTCCGGCTATCTATATATATATATATATATTCATTATTTTGTAGTAATACTAGCCACCTAGTTATTCTTCATGTATGTAGAGGTTATTCAATTATGTTCCTGTATCTTCAATTTTTTCTTAATTCAATCATTTCATTTCTTCAATTCCCCTCTTCTTGCTGTTGTGAATTAATACATGGAAATCTTGTCTGCATCAAAACCTTATCTAATAAGCATTCTCATTCGACAATAACTAATTAATTAACTAGAAAAATTAGGTTTAATCGATATACTATCTGGCTTATTAAACATCTCAATTTGTCGGTGTTGTTATCGGGATTTTTAGAACCAACTATTATTTTTATTCGTGGTGAAAGTTATACTGATCTTGTTGAATTAGTGATTATATATATTAATTTCTTGGTGTGTATTGGTATATTATAATGACCTTATTGAAATCTTTTTGATGTAAAATGACAAAAAGAAAGGAATTAGGGTTAGGGTTTCTTATAGTTTCAATTTAGGGATTAACTTTTTGTAGTGGCTGGCTTTTTGGCTGTCTAAAAGACTGATATGCATAGGAGTACTTTATGGGAAATAGGAGAGGAGAAAATATATATAGAAAGGATGAGCTTGGGAAAAGTTACCTTTCAGCTAAAGGTGTGGGGGAAAGCCTGATTATAATGAAAACGTTTGGAAACACAATCTTATGTCAAGATCATGCATGCAGTACAACAAATTCAAATTGAAGCACATACATACACACACGTATAAACATGCATAGATATAAATAAATATATATATTTATGTGTACATCCGGACCCATACACATCTTTAGTTTCATGGGTTTTCTTTCTCAAGCTCACTTGCTAGCAAAGCCATGCCTACACAAACATCATACATCTTCACTCTGACTAATCTTTGTATGATATGTAAATATGCCATGTATACATATAAAGATATCGTATATTTATATGTATATATATGGTCATTTATACGTCTCACATAAAGATTAGACAGAGTGAAGCTGTATGATGTTAACATTTGGGCTAGGGGAGTGGGAGGTAGAGATCAGATGGTATGACATTTTGGTAGCTATAGCTAGCTTGTAAGTTATGAATTATAATTCGGAAATACACATATCTACATATATACAGAAGTTTTTCACGGGTTATACGTATATGTATTTACATTGAAGTTGTGGAGTCCTTGTCCATGTGCAAATGGGAATAGAGGGATTGTTCAATCACTTAAAATACATTCTACTTATGGCCATTCACAATTTGTATTCAATAAAAATATTGTCTACACTATATATATATATTCATGACAGCAAGACTTACGCATATATATATATATATATATATATATACATATATGTATTCAACTAAAGTATTGCAACAACTCTTTTATGGCTCTATATATGCACATCTTTTCTTTTTCCAAGATAAGATGGCTGGGAATATAGATATACTCGTAGAGTAAAGAAAACTATACATCAGTAGCTTTATTAATTATTTTACGTACGTATATTAATTAGATTTTCGAATAAATAGATAGATATGTGTGTATATGCATCTGTATATATCTAACATGCAACTTGGTGAGAATAGATGGATGTATAAATATGTGTCCTCCCGCATATTAAAAAATTCATAATAATAAAAAATTGGATGGAAATTAATTGATGACTAATGTTTAACGAGAAGTATATATACAACTTACAGTGATTGATATATATATATACATATATATATATATATATACACACGATAGTTGATGCATAGTCGTGGATTATCTGAAGGGTTTGCAGTGATTGATTTGTGAAAAAGAAGGGGATAAGGTGCTGTGGATCACTTTTCAAGATATCTAATCAGTTTCCTTTTCTAGATGACTCATGTTCAAGCTGGATCCACAGAAGCTAAATTTTAATACGCTTTTAAATTTACACCCAACCAAGTCCTGGTCTCTTATTCTTCTTGGGTTCAAACCACTATATATATATATATATGAATACATATATATCTATAAAAATATACATGTGTAAGGAATCATGTCCAGAAAAGCATGATATGTATTCAAAGGAAAAATTATCTATCAGTGGAAATACTTTGCCAGCAAGATGATCTAGATAGTATGAATACACAGGCTTATGGGTCAAAGCAAACTGATTACACCGATATACCCGCACACACACATATAAATATATATATATATATATATGTGAATGAATAAAAAGGGTATAAGTTCAAGTCATAATGGTCGACATTTACTCTCTTAATGATGTTCGCGGAATTTGAATCTGTTAAGCTGAACAAATAAAAAAAATCAATTCTTCTATACATATACATATACATATACATAAACATACATGTACATATGTATATATATATATACGCACACACATATAAAATCTCTGTGAAGTGATATTTTTTTCTTCATTAATTGATAAAATAGTTAAGGGTGTTTGTCTTTAAACATGCATCACGAAAAGTGAACACAAATTATATTTCGATAAATCGTCCTCTTGTTTTATTCTCAGAGAAAGTTTTCCATTAATTAAGTTTAGAATAATTGATTTGGTATCTTAAACTTTCTAGCCACTAATTAACTTTTATTTAATATTTATTTATTTTCTTTCAATTACTCAGTCAATAATTACCATATAATACATATTTCTCTCTCTCTATATATATATATAATACCATCTAAATAATTACTAATTATATATATGTATAATGTATATATAAGTATAATGCATATATCAATCCCTTATGTTCGTATGTAAATAATTTACATGTGACAAAAATCTAGTTTGGTTCTTTTTGAAGGATGCAAATTTGTATTTTAGTCTGATCGTTTGATAACCATAACTTTCCTAAAAGTTAAATTTAATTATTAATATATCTTAGAAAGGGGATTTGATCTTCACCCACTAATAATTCATATTTATATAATTAATATTTTTAAATTAATTTTTATACACTGAGAAATTAAATTAAATAAAATATTTATTAAAAAAAAAAGGAGAAAAATGTGCTTTTTAGAAAGGTCCGTGTTGTATTGTCTATAAACAAAGATACGTGCACGCAATTAAAATGTAATTGAAATAATTAAATTAGATTAAACAAGATTAAGGATGTAATTAAATTTGTTAGAGACTTAATTAGCAAAAAAAAAAAAAAAAAAAAAGAGGAAGAAGAAGAAGAAATTTACATGGATGATTAGATGAGAAAGAGAGGCAGGCTAGGCACATGCAAGATGGGTATATCTATAGATTATATATCTATAGATATAGATATAGATGTGCGCTCCATATTTATATGCTTCATTTATTTACTTACGAGAAGTTTTTTCACATACAAAATTAAAATTAAAAAAAAATTACTATTAATTTAATAGTATACATATATTAAGTTCCATCATAAAAATTTACATGAAAAAGGAACAAAAAGCAAATAGTTTATATAGGTCATATACATACATACATACATACATACATATAGAAAGAATATATATATATATATATATTAATGGATAGACAGAGAGAGCAAGTTGGTGTATTTCGTATATAATGATGGGTGCATATGATTTGATCGACTGATAATCATTTTTTACCTTACCAACCAGTAAAAACAATTTTTTAAAAGGAAAGAAACATATTTTAACCTTTAGTTTTTGAGTATTTTTTTTACTCGTTCCGTATCCATTAGGTGAGGTAAATCCAAAGTTACCACAAGGGATTATAATATGTAAACACAAAGTTACCGTTAACTATAAGTATAGGAACTGGAATTAATATATATTTCCCATTAAAAGAATATATCTTGAAGCTTGCCTCATAAAAATTCTATCGCCCTAGAGTTCTGAAGGCTTTAATTCCAATCAAATTTCATGAACGACTACTTTCGCAATGTACGTATAAACGCATATATATGTTATTCATTTGTGTGTGTGTGTGTATATATATAAGTATATGGGTAAAAAAAGTAAACAAAATCTGACACAATAGAGTGGCACATCTGAAGAGGGTGAAGCAATCGACAAGCATCTAGTTTGACAGAATGACTCAAAAAGTGAAAAAGGCACATGGCAGTAGGTAAAAAATTCTTATGAATTTGACCTCTTCCATTCCCCCACCTGTCGAGTCTTGACTCTGTCATCCCTCTTTCTTCTACTTCCATTTTGTGTGAATTCTCAAACCCTAATCAAATCCAGATTCTTCATGGAACTTGCTATATAAGACACTACCAGTTCTCTCCCTCTCCCAAACATAAAAATTAAGTTTACTATTCATCCTGTAATTTTGCTAACAGACAAAAATGGTGGACTATTTCGTCTTTTACTTGCTTGTGCTTAGGCTTGCAATGGCAAGCATGTCAAACACCTTAAATGAAACATGCCTTGACGATGTAGGTGTTGCATTGGACGTCAAATGGTACCAAAACAGCTGCCCAGAAGCAAAATCTATAGTGTTCTCATGGGTCGAAAATGCAATCTATCAGGACTCTAGAATGGCGGCTTCACTACTTCGGCTTCATTTTCATGACTGCTTCGTCAATGCATGTTTACTCTTACTCGAATCAATCGCATCTCTATTTTTGCACTTTTATCTGTTATGATTTGAGTTAAAATTGCAGGGATGTGATGCTTCAGTGCTGTTGGATGATGCTGGCACTTTTATTGGAGAAAAAAGTGCAGCGCCCAACCTGAATTCTCTAAGAGGATTTGAAGTGATCAACGGGATAAAATCTGAACTGGAATCTGTTTGCCCCGAAACTGTCTCCTGTGCTGATATTCTGGCAATGGCGGCTAGAGACTCCGTTGTTCTAGTGAGTACTACCCCCCAGCTTCGAGTAACAATAATAATAACAATAATAATAAGTTTCGGTTAAAGAATTTTAAAAAATGCAGTCAGGAGGACCAAGCTGGGAGGTGCTAATGGGGAGGAGAGACAGCTTAAGTGCGAGCAAAGCAGCAGCAAACAACAACATACCGGCCCCTAATTCTACAGTCCCAACCCTTGTTACCATGTTTAAGAACGTTGGCCTTGACATCAAGGACCTGGTTGTGCTCTCGGGTAAATCTCATCATCCCCTCCCACACTTCTTTTTTCATACATGAACATCGGCCAAAAATTTATGATTTCTTTCCAAAGACCCCTCAGCTTCTTAGATATATAGTAGCATTGACAAGGCAACATTAAAATTGTGGCAGGTGGGCATACACTGGGAAAGGCTCGATGCTCGACATTTAGCTCCCGTTTCCAGGGAACAGCCACTAGCCCAGATGTTAACTTGGAGTTCCTTCAAGCATTGCAGCAGATATGTTCAGTACCCAATGCTGGCAACACTGCGTTGGCACAACTTGACCTGGTTACCCCAGCAACATTCGACAACCAGTACTACATTAACCTCATATCTGGCGAGGGATTGCTGCCATCAGATCAAGCTCTTCTTACTGAAGATGATGAAACACGTGAGCTTGTAGAGTTGTATGCTGACGACCCAATTTCCTTCTTCGAAGACTTCACCAAATCCATGCTCAAAATGGGAAACTTGGGGCCACTAACAGGGTCCAGTGGAGAGATAAGGAGAAATTGCAGAACCGTTAATCTCTAAAACTCACCTTACGGTGACTGGCATCTGGAGGGTTACATGCTTTTTATTTGGAAGCCTAGGCTTTTATTTAAGTACTATAATCTTTATATGCATCAGGTGTGGGAAACTCTTTGAAGGGTTTAGCAACGGCAGGTTTAGCTGATAAATAATAATAAAAATTTAAGAGGCCTCCAATTTCCTATGAGGTTTCAGTGGCCATCAACAAAAATCTAAACGGGAACTAATATTTTTCCTATTATACTACGGATGCTAACTATTTTACACGCTCCCTAGAAATACATGGTTACAACGTCAAAAAGGCAGTTTATTGCCCCATGAATACAATGGTACAGAGGCTTAATCGCCTGAAACTGTGGGACTGCAAAGCATCCCAGTACTTTTGAAAGAACCAGAGAAAACTGATGATGCTGGACAAGTAACATCCCCCTCACAGATCCCATTTACCATTTGAGTTAAAGAAACTGCTGTTTTTCTGCCTTACCTCTTGACTCAATCTGCTACAGATTCCTCATACCTCTGCAAAGAAACGGCGAGTTCCTCACTCTGCCAACATCAGACTCTGGCAATTACATCTCTTATTTCAGTTGCCTGGAGATAAAGCACCACATTAGATAAGGCATAAATAGAGAGCATATATGGCATAGAAAAGGAACATCTTCTGGCTATGCAAAAGAATATTCAGGCGTGCCTTAGCATCATCCTAAAGGATCTGCAAGATACAGCTGGAATTGCTCTCAAGATTGACCATCCTCTACTAAGAGGAGCATCCATGATTCACCAATTAAGAAGAATATCGATAACCATATCGAGATAGGTCAATATCTTAATGGCATCTTGTTCAGGATAACCATTAATAAGAATATCGATAAGCATATACAGATAATACATATATGCATCACAAACAAGCACATGTCTAGGCAGCAAAGGGGAAAGGAGAGAAAGGCCATGTTCATTGCTTCTTGCTTTGTAATTCCTTGACTAGTAAGGAACAGAAGTATTATGAGAAGGAATGATCTAAACCTGATGGCTTATTCTTCCACATCAATTCCTGAGAAGCCTGAAGCCCCTACAGTAGCATAAGATATCAGGAACAAAATGCTGTTTTGAAAATAATTTTAACATATCAAAATATTACACTTGAGTACCTGTTGGAAGCGTCCAGGATCATTAACAGAAGTAGCTGCCCCAGGCAATTGGGCACGATTAAGTTCCTGCGAAGCCAGAATACCCCAAAATTAAATAATTAAGAGTTGAAATTTTATAATTAGCACTCTACGTAAAAAGAAGACCATAACAAAGCTTGATTAAACTAGAGAGAAATATCCACTAACAATAGCACCTTGGAGTGGCAGCAATTTCAACTGCAATCTAATATCACTCCAGTGGTAGAAGCAATCCCTACCACTAGGATGGCCACAGGATATTCTAGGGCATCCTTTGACTGCTCTAGAATCCATGTACATGCAGAGAGGTGTCTGCATGTAGATAGGTATTGTATTAATGATGTGATGATGCTATGTTACTGGTTTCGTATAGTTATAATAACTTGCTAATCTAATATTACAAATCTCTACACTCTAAAAGAAGTTTCTTTTAGAATAAATACCAAATTAGTTCTCAAAATTTATCATTTGTTACAATTTAGTCCTTAATATTTTTTTTGCTACAATTTGGTTCCTCACATTTTCTGTTTGTCTCAAACGTCTAACTTACTTCTATTTTCTAATGGAAAAAGTTAAAATAGTTAGTCATATTCGGACGCATCAAAAAACAGTTGAAAAGAATGATTTTAATTAATTAATTAAATTAATAGAGTAATAAATTAATAATAATATCAGAATTATTTTTTATTGTTACTAATTTATTAATTTAGTTAATTAGTCAAAACCATTCTTTTTTTAAAAATAAAAAGTTAAGAAGTATATAGTCACAAGGCACCATGTATAATTGTTTACATACTAGTTAGGGTATCAATGACAAATCCAAAATCCTCATCTCTAACAATGTCACGCCCCATAAACATAGAGCCACCTATCTCTTAATATATACATTGGATTTTCTTTCCCATCAAAAGTCCTAAGATTTCTTTCTTTCCAACTAACCCATAAACTGTTAGGGGAACTATACCCCAACGAACATTATCCTTTCTCATACCATTCCAAGCCCATAATTCCTCCCTAACCGTACCAGCCATTACCCACTTCATCCCAAGAAGACTATATACCATACTCCACAGCTCATGAGTCACCAGACACCATACATAAATAACATCGGTTAGCCATGTGGTGTCCTCTCCTCATCAGCTTGTCAATAGTTAAAATACATTCTCTACTGGCCTCCCGAGCAAAAAATGCAATCTGTGGGATGCATTTAGCTTCGAGATCTGCTTAAAGGGAAAATTGCAATCTGAACCAGCCCTTCTTTCTCTAAGGTAGAGATAATAGGATTTACAAGAAAACTGTCCATTCTGACTCAATTTCCAGATCACCCTATCTTCTGTTTCCTTCAACTTATGCATTTCCAGCAATTTCAACAGGTTTAGGTAATCCTGTATCTCCCAATCTTTTAAATTTCTGTATACATTCACCTCCCAAATCCGGTTGCCATTAAACTCTTTGTAAGCTTCCTTAACCACCATGTTCCTGGACTAAGAAATTTCGAAAATTCTAGAAAATCGGCTCATAAGACTGCCCCCCTCAATCCACTCATCTTTCCAGAATTTAATTTTATCTCCACGGCCAATCTTCCACTAAATAGAAGCTTTAAAACGGTACCAGTCCATCAGGATTTTTCTCCATAGCCCTAGGCCATGCTGTTTGTTGATTCTGCCACCATCATTTCTGCTCAACAGATCACCCCATCTTACCCAGATTATCCTTCTCCATAGTCTGTCCTCTTCCTGTAAGTACCGCCATAACCATTTGGCATTCAGGGTAATATTCAACTCAGCCAGAGATTTAATGCCCAAGCCCCCTTTGTTGACAGGGTTTTTAACTTCAGCCCAATTAATCAAGTGGTATTTTTTGTTACCTTCCTCATCACCACATAAAAATCTACACTAGATGGTCTCTAGCCTTTTAGCAATTTCAATTGGTATTGTGATGGTGGATAAGTAATAGATTGGGAAATTTGTTATGGTAGTTCAGATGAGAGTGTACCTACCAAATTTGGATAAAAAATTCCTTTTCCATCCCGCTAATCTTCTTTCAAAAGTTTCAATAACTGGCTCCCAAATTTTCACATCCTTATACTTGGCCCCAAGGGGAAGGCCTAAATATTTTATCGGAAGGTTAACCGGCTTGCAGCCCAAAACTTTAGACAGCCTAGTCTCATCACTTCTATCACCCAATCTCACCATTTATGATTTACACAAGTTGATGTTAAGCCCCGATACAGCTTGAAAAAATAGTAGGGTGCAGCTTAAATGCCTTAAAATCCCGACGTCCGGTTGGCAGCAAATAAGCGTATCATCAGCAAAAAATAAGGGGGAGACTATAATGGAATTATCCCCACTGCCCACCTTCAACCTCCAATTAGTTGTAGCTCCAAAGCCTTCGTTAGTAAGTCATTAAGTGTTTGCATTACAATAATAAATAGTAAAGGGGATAATGGGTCCCCTTGCCTTAATCCTCTAGTGGCTTTGAAGAATAATGAGGGACCACCATTTACCATAACCACAAATGAGGTTGTAGAAATGCAGAACATCATACATTCTCTCCATTTTCGACCAAAACCCAATCTCTTCAACATGTAATCAACAAAATCCCAATTAACATGATCATATGCCTTCTCCATAACAAGTTTGCAAAGTAAACCATCCTTATCTCCCGAAACCAACTCATCAACCACTTCATTTGCTGTCAAAACAGTATCTAAAATCTGTCTTCCTTCGATGAAAGCGTGTTGACATTCCCCAATAACTTTGCCAAGCACTTTAGACAATCTCCTAGCTAGAACTTTAGATAAGGGTTTGTATATGCTCCCAATTGGGCTAATAGGTCTAAAGTCCCCAATGTTCTTGGCACCTTTCTTTTTAGCAATAAGCACCAAAAATGTGGAGTTTAAAGATTTTACAAACTTCCTAGTTTCATGAAATTCCTTAAACATTTCTATCACCTCCCCTTTAATAAGATATTAGAATTCTTTAACGAAATTCATATTGAATCCGTCCAGACCTGGTGCTTTGTCACCATTACATGATTTTAAGGCTTCATAGATTTCCTCTTCATCAAAAATAGATTCCAGGATATTACTACTATTCTCAGACAGCCTCTTGAATTGCAGCCCATTTAATTTAGGTCTTCTATTGAATTCTTCCACATACAAACCAGCATAGAAGGTCTTGGCAGCATTCCTCACGTTCTCGTTTCCTTTAAAGATGATATTGTCTACCCACAACTCATCAATATAATTACATCTCCTGTGATGGCTCGCCAAAGCATGGAAATACTTTGTATTTTGATCTCCTTCCTTCAGCTATTTTTCCCCAGATTTTTGTCTCCAAGACTCTACATCCAAGGCAAATTTACTAGCTAGTTTACCTTTCAGTTGGTCCTCAGGATGCAGTCAGCCTCCTCCAAATTGTTCATCCCCTCTTTAAAGTCTAACTCCTCAATGCTTCTCAGAATAGAACTGACTTCCTCATCATTTTTAATTTCTTCTTCCTTAGTCCACACCTTTATAGCCTCCTTCAACACCTTCATTTTTGCAGCAATCCTGAAGCTAGCTTTTTCTTGAATCAAAGTTTGTTCCCAGATATCTTCCACAAGCCGCCAAAAAACATCCTCTTTTAACCACCTGTTTTCAATTTTGAAAGGGACCAGACCCCACTGTATACCATCATCTTCCAGAGAAATAGGAAAATGATCTGAAGTGGATCTGGATAATCTCTTCTGGCAGACCCCATTGAAGTCAAAACCATTCTTTTGAGTCATTTTTCCATTAGGAAGGGAAAAAAAACCCAGGTATTTGAAACAAATAGAAAACATCATGGACCAAATTGTAACAAATGCCAAATTTCAGGGACTAATTTAGTAATTTGTCCTTTCTTTTATTTGAATTAATACAATCTACCATTAAAGCAAGACTGAAAATATTCTAGCATTAATGGACAGAGATTAGTCGAAAATAAAATCAAACGAAATTTAAGAATATCGCTAAGAGTTTAGATATGATCAGCTATCCGGTACCTTAAAATTAATTAAGGTTCACTTTAAAACTTGAAGGATTAGCATATAGTTAATCTATAGCACCAACTACTAAGTGCTACTGCAGCATATCCATTTGACATTTCCAAACTTGCATTGTTGCATGTAAACCTAAAGCCTCACATACAAAACATTCCTTAACAGTTAAAAAGAAAATAGTACTGAAAAAAACAAGCTTCATTTTCCAGCAAATTTTATATCCAACAATTAATTCATCAAACCATGCAAAGTTGTCAAGCGTGCTCTTAGCTTAACTTTGAAATTGAAGAAACATGTAAACCAATTCATTTCACAAGTAAGAACTTATCTACTAATTGTTATGGAAGTGTTATAGAAGGACGGTGAAATGGCAGCAAGATGATAAACAAAAATATTTGGAAGATAAATTACCTGGACATTTTGACTACCAACTCCAGATGCTGGATACTGAATACAAGAAGTGGAGTTAGTAATTGTACAAATTATATTTCTAGACACATTATGCAAAGGAAAATGACCTGTGAAGGAAAGAAAGATTGCTGTAATGATGGTTGATTGCGGAGCTGTGTTTGAAGCTGAACTTGAAGCTGCACCTGTTGTGTCTGTGGAGCTTGCTGGGTAGACAGAAGTTGAGGGTGTGCCTGGCTCTGAGGCAGCTGCACAGACTGTTTCTGTTGCTGTTGTTCAAACAATGTCAACTCCTCAGGTTTCTCCCACTGCATGTCCATAACAGTAAACACTCAATAAACAATTTGAAGGAATAAACCAACCAATAGAAAATGAATCTAACTGTTTTATTTCTCACCTTACTTTCACCAGTTACACTATTGTAATAGTACTCGTATCCATCGGGGGAAGTATGCTCGGTCCAATTACATTTTACAGGAGCTACTGTCTGAGTAACTACGGGTACCACAGAAGCAGCAGATGCAGTTGAATGTACAACTGTGGATGTTGTGGTAGCAGGAGTGCTGGAAACTGTTTGCAATGGGGCTCCATTCCACTGAGCCAGCAAGATGAAGTAACATTGTCACAATAGTTTTTGTTATAAACCATTCTCAGACTATATGTCAGAAGCTCCTCAAGGATGTGAACATCACAACACTGAACTTCGATAGGAACAGAAAGAATGAGGCTAACCATAAAAGACCAAGTGAAAAAATTTCATGATATAATTTTTACCTGTGCGAATATATATTGAGATCTAGACGAGATAAAAATGTCATTTGGACAAGTATGTTGCACAAATTTAGTTTCAGGTCAGAAATGTCATAGATGATGTTATGCCATTTAGTACTTCTATACCTGTTGTTTAGTAGTCTGGGAACTAGGCGGGAGCGCTAAACTCTGATTTGATGGTTGCATCAATTGCAATTGTTGCTGCAGCTGGGAAAAAGCTTGCTGAGATGACTGGAAGCTTGCTTGTAGAGTTTGTGTCTGCTGTGATAATAACTGAGCTAACTGAGAAGGCGATTGCTGAAGAGGTTGCAGTACTTGCGGCTGGACGGGAGCATGCAGCTGCTGTTGATTTCTTGCCGCAGACACAGGATTGGGCTGTAAGTTAATATTTGAAGGACCTTGTTGTGCTGTTGCAGATGATGCATTTTGCTGAAGCTGGACTTGAGAAGCAGGCAACTGTCCACTATAACCATGTAAATTTTGTGATGGCATTGTTTGACTGAAAGGTACCTGACCAGCAGGAACAGAATTTTGAAGCTGACTGGCATGGGAAGTTTGAGACTGGGGGAAAGAAGATGATTGAGCCTGAGGGTGCAGTTGAAGTGCAGATGGTGGATTCTGAGGTGATTGGATAGGCTTCTGCAATGGTGATACTTGCTGACCAACAGATGGGATTTGTGGTAGAGGGTGGTTAATACTCTGAAAATGTGTCAAGAATATCCAATTCATTGTGGGAGAACCTATGGAGGCTAAAAAAGCACCGAAATAACAATCTTCAAATACCTGTTGTGATGTGGACGAAGATGAAACTGCTGGACCTGGGACTGGAAGGGGACCATTGGAAGGGCCACCAAAGCCACTAATGGGGGCAACCTAATGATTTTGCAGTAATGGTAAGAAACAGTTCTTAAAAAAATTAAAACAGAAGATTTGCTTGTAATTAGGAATTCTCTAACTAAAATTGGTAAAAAAGAAGCCAATGCATAGCATGTAATGGGAAATAAAACTTTTCATAACAATGACTTAAGACCCGACCCTTGATGGTTGGAACGAAAAGAGGAACTGGGCCAAAAAACAACCATTTATCTTTCTTACCAACAAATCATTCCTGGCGAACAGTTTCAAAATAGCATGTAGTGAAGCTCAAATGATTTCTCGAAGACAAGTGGTACTATTACTGACCCTCAGCTAGCATGTAATTTACAATGCAGTTCCTGCCAAAATTGTTCCAAGGGCAACAAAAATGAATAAATGATGCATGATAGTCTGTGTTGATCCTCACCAAATTTGGGGGCATTGCTAGATCACCAGGTCTAGGAAGCATCTGATTCCCAAAACCACGAATTCCGGGATTAGAAGGACCTAGATTCTGTGGACTCATTGGATTCCAAGAACTGGGTGGAGCTCGATCCCCAGTAGGATCACCAAAGTTAAGTGGAGGTCTGCCAGAGAGAAAATTGAATCAAAGGAATACATTAAGTGAGAAGGAAAAATTCAAGAAAAAGAACTGAAACCAATTAAAGAAAACTCTTCCTTTTTGCTATTTACCTTGGCCCTGGTGCTTGAAAACGAGGGCCAAAACCAGGACCTCCAAATGCAGGTACACCATCCCTGGAAAAAAAGATACTATACTAAGGAGGCATGAACTGATTTGCCAATAGGTTGAGTGCCAATAACAAAACAAGAAACTGATAGAAAGAATAACCCTTTACTGGATAATAGAAATGTGGTAAATCATTTGAAGTGTATCCCTATTCCTTCCCCACCCCTTCAGAAAAGAAAAAAGAAAAAGAAAAACCAAAAATACAGACTTTTGCTGATAAAAAAGAGGAGGGGAAAAAGGAACACATGTCAAATCTAAGGAAAAACCTTGAATCATTGGGCCTAGGCCTCTTGGGATCAGCAAAGCGGACAGTTAATGGCTGATCACAACCCTAAGACATGGAAGACAAGGAGAGAAAAAGATAAGCATAAGAAGCTCTTTAATAATTAAGTAGGAAGATCATTGAAATGGCAAGCCATGCTTACTCTCATCGTGTATACCCCATTAAGAGCATTTATAGCTGCCAAAGCCATTTCTCTATGCGAGTACTTAACAAATCCGCATCCTACAGGACGACATGTCATGTAATAAACAATATATAGATGTCTTAACAGTGGCTTCCATTTAATCTCGCGAATTGAAAAGGAAAGCATAACAAACATATTGAGAGAAATCCCGTCGTGCCATATGGAACACTTGACTATTTAATTGATGATGAGCGCAACTGATGCTAATTTAACCCTCTCATCCATCAAAGAACAGCAATTGCTTCCAGTGACATTTCCCCATGTGAGAATTTGGCAAATCTGCATCTTAGGCTAATATGTTGTTCAAGCTATGTTTGAAACACATCCAGAAATTGGGTAGAATTTATTTGCAAATCCACAGTTATCTTCATTATGTAAGTTCTATTAATAGATAATAAAATCAACTTCATAAAGAATTTCATGTTGAATTGGATCAATAATATTCCTAATTCCATCAAATTTGATGAGATTTTGAATATCTAGTCCCAGATCCACCTGAAAGTCTATAGCTCAACCAACTAAAGTTTACAAATGAATCCCACCAAATTACTAGATTTGTTCCTAACACAGACTTAAATAATGTTTGTTAATGTGTTGAAAGAAAATTATGATAAAACCAGATTACATGACACTACATAGACGACTTTTTTTTTTTTTTTTGTCTTGTTGAGGGCAATAAAAGACCACATACTGCGTAACCTGGTGCAGATATAACTGCTAATATCAAGGTTGTTATTCACCAAAAATAAAAAGATATCAAACATCACACAAGCCAATAGGTGACATTCTAATATATATTTTAGATAAAGATCTGAAAGTTCAACGGTATAAGGATCAATCATAAACACTATACATAATATGACAACCAAGACAGACGACCTTCAAAAAAAAAGGAAAAAATGAAGACCTTCAACATACCACGGCTCTGCCTGTATTCATCACGCATGAGGTAAACATCTTCAACCCGACCATATTGCGAAAAAATCTGCAAAGTGCAAATTTGCAAGAAAAATAGCTTTCTCAAAAAAAAATTATGCTACAACAAATTCGTGATAGAGAATTTTTTTTTTACATATAGGAAATACATATGCTGGAACATATTGAAAATGGCACTAAAACCCGAAGGGTTCTTTAACAATTCAACATCAATATACAAGTTTCAAAATAAAGTTTAATATAAACAGAAATAATTGATGCATCTGACGTACTTCCTCAACTTCCTTTTCAGTAGCTTGTTTGTTTAGTGAACCAACAAACAACTTGTACTCCACAGCACCTAACATAAAAAACAATGATATTAAAAAGAGGAATAATCTGACAACATGATGGGACATGCTTGAAAAAATAACCAATACGCTTTAGGAACAAATTTCCTCAATAATAGCTAGCAGTCATACACAGCTCAATATATAATAAAAAATAACAACACTGATACTAAGTAAAAGATGTATTGGAGATTGTCCATTCATAAGGTTGACCTTTCTAATTCATCCCATTTCCAAATCCGTCTTTACAAGTCAGTTAAGTATTAGATTGGCAGTTCAAAACCATAAACATAAATATGTATATGTATGTAGGAAACAAATGAAGAAATAGAAAGTTCAAACAATAATGAAGTGCAATCACTGTAACCCAAGAATTACGAAGCCTAGTATCAGGATCTTGATGATACAAAAATTTTTATATTAGACTAAGGGTGAAAAAAGCAAACTAGAAATAAAAAATTGAAAAGTGAATAACAATACTGTGAAGAACCCTATGATCTTAGACAACTAAGATGAGAGTTGTTCTCAGCTTAAGGAAATTGAGTTTCTAACTTATTTGATTTAAATCCGCAAGGCACCATCTACTGTGAAGAAAAAATATTCAAAGAAAAATCTATTCTGGGGAAACTATTTCAAATTCAGGAAAAGCATGACCTTCTACCAGGAAAATTGCCATTTCCAAAACCCATGCTAATCCATAACATCTAAATCAGCTAGACAGCTATCAGACCTGAATCATTAAAACAAATGAGAAAAGAGAAAAGACCTAGTCCAAAATCACTTTCCTCAACTCTTAAAGATTCTAAAGCATGGAAGACGGTTGAAATGCATCCACCAATCCAGAATTTTGGGCAGCGATTCCACACCTCATGCCAAATCAACATTGAAGTTTAAACTGCTCCAAGAGTTAGGAGCAGAAAGAGTGTTTCATCAAACACATATTTAGACAAGCAACAGAGACTTAATTCCAAAAATCCGGATAAGTTAGAAGTTACTACCCAGTCGTTCTCGTTCTCCATCAGCATATCTAACTTGAATAGGACCAACTCCCTAGAAAAAAGAAACATATTTAAGCATGGGAAAAATGAACACAATATGAGTAGCTGCAGAACAAGTGCCCGAAGAGAACTTACCCCAGGAAGAGTATGTTGATTGTGCAAGGCTCTAATGGCCCTATCAGCTTCTTCTGAGGTTGCATATTTTACAAAACAACAGCCTGCATAATGAATGAAATTTATGTGCTGATGTTGTAAGGTCAGTTGTACCTTGCTAACAATGGTATGGACAGCCAACTCCATTCAAATACATCAGACAGCACCATAAGTGCATTAAATAAATGCACAAGTACATGATAAAGCACCATATACGCATTAAACAAAAGCATAACACATGCTTAGACAGAAATAGAGTTCTAAAACAATAACAAATTACAAACTGTAGAACACACAGCACTGAATGTCAATTGCTAGTTGGAATATGAAAACTCAGGCAGCACCACCAGTCATGATAATAATAATAATTCTAATGAACTCTGCTCTGCATGATGACAATAGTTGGAGTTGATCTTCTCTCCTCAAAAATAAATAAGAATAATAATACTAATAATCTTTAGTACCAAGTATATATTACTTCATTGTTAATCAATAATGCCCATCCCCTTGGACATTGAATCGGATTGGAAAAGCTAAAGAGCCATTTGTTGGAAGACTTCAAGCACTACAGCACTACACTAGCAATCAGAAGAATGCAATCGCATTCAATTACTACAGTCACTCAGAACTACTAATCTTAAAGCATGAAACCAGCCGAATCAAAAAGATAAGAACTATTACTTGTCAAACGACTTCAAGAATTACACCATCACACTATACACTAGCAATGGGAATAGTGTGACCATCTTCCACTCTTATGATGGTTCTTAAATTAGTCTTAAATCATGATTTTCTACAGAATCAGTACAACGATCAACACCTTAATCAAATAACACCAGAATATAAACCCATGCTCTGGTAGGCAAACACCATGGAATTGCAATGCCCAAAACCAAAGCCATGAACTGTATGAACAATAGGGCATTATTTACTCAAAAGAGATATTAACTTAGATGGCACAATGCAAAATATACATCCATTCGCTGGCAGTCAAACACTACAAATTTTCCATTCATTGAAAGGAAAACCATCTGCTGTACAGTAATATCTCATGAACCATCACAAATATGTACACCCACCACAACATGGAACACAAAATCATCTAATACATGCCAACAATAAAAATCAATGTCCCATAAGAATTAGTATGAATCAATGGTAGGCATGCTGAACAGCCTGTTCCCAGGACTCATTTTATAAAACCCCATTTTTCCGGTAGAAATCTCAGAAGTCAAGGTGCATTTTCCAAGTGGAAATTTTTCCACTGTTGCAATGATACTTACAGAACAGCCTTAAGCTAGTAGTAG